CGAAGTGGCTGGTCTAAGCAGGTTGCTAAACATCTCGGCCGCAGAACACGGAGCCTAGGCCGCAAACAACCTGCTCGCGCCCGTAAGATTCGGAAACTGAAGAAAGAACTCCAGCGCGTGCCATGGAACCCAGCTGACCAGGTTGTGTTTTCCACATCTCCGACGTATTCATCAGTGTGAGTTCAGCGGATGTTCCTGACTACGCACCTGTCCTTCCCGTGACTCGCTCTCAAAAACCACACTCGAAATGTAAAATGGATGGGTCTCGTTACTGATCCTCCTCACCATATCTAGAACGTAAACACGCCCCGGACTGAAATTGGTTCGCGATCATTTTGATGGGTTAAAGAGAGGTTTAGTGTGGCTAATATGATTTACGCTGTGGTGATGCACGGTACATAGCGCTTGCCCTATTTGTGCTTTCGTACGACTTCACGCCTTCGTCTGCTCACTTCCTTGCTGCTTTGTATCTCTGCTTCCTTCGACGAGGCAGTTTTTTCTGACGAAATTCGAAATTCTCAGATCGTACTAGTTCCTATTACCGTGTACTGTTTCATTTACGCTTTAATCACCGACGCCGTTTTATTCGCCGGCTCGCCTGCTCGCTGCTTCTTCTTTCGTACTTTTATCCGACCGAGTTTTTTTGTTGCTGTAGAGCCGCTGGCTATGGCGTCACCTTGCCTGCACCTCTCATCCACAGTTAATCTCAGAAGAATGTTAAACGCAGCGTTAGAGGCTCTGGATACCGTTCCTTCATCTCATATCGCGGATCGGACGGCCGTCGGCGATTCTGACAATCAGAAGATATCCGCGCCGTCAGAGTTGCCGGCGAAGTTTAAACAGTACGCGTCGACTAAAGACGGCGATGCGGTTCCGTACGCCGTGGTCCGCGCCGCATGGTCCGCTTTACGCGAGCGGCACAGATCAGATCGCAGCGACCGAAGCGACCACAGCGAAGAGAGTGGTAACACAAGGACGGGTCAGATTTCGCCGAGCGACAGCTGCGAGACGAGAGAAGTGAAGGAATCAGAAGCACGAGAGGAAGCATCAGGCGTTAATTCACAAGGCACTGCGAGCAGCAGCGGCAACACTAGCAACGACACTGCGAGTAGCAACGGCACTACAAGCAGCGGAAACGGGAGGAGCAGTGACAGTGCGGGCAACGGCGCTGCGAATAGCGACAAGAGCTCTGATTGGCTTATGCACGAGGTGCTGGAAGGCTGCCTCGTGCTGCTGCCTGCTCCACCCGAGCCTCCGAAGAAGGTGCGGCCGGACGTGCAGGCTTGACTCGGATTGACAGTTCATGGACCAAGAGTTTGTTTGTTGGTTTTTTTTTTTTTTTTTTTTTTGTCATCCGCTCAAGATCCGTCTTGTGTGTCCCTCACCTCATCTCCCCATATCCACCGTCTACTCATTTTTCTTCCTCTCGTCCCACAGAGTGCGGGGCTTGAAGCTCGCTTGGCTGCTTTGAAAGAAGCGGAGGAGGGAAGGCGGCGCATAGATCTGGAGGCTCCCAGTCAACTCTTCCCCCTCTCCCCTCCCTTCCCTTCTCATCCCACAGAGTGCAGAGCTTGAAGATCATCTGGCTGCTCTGAAGGAAGCGGAGGAGGGAAGGCGGTACAGAGAGCTGGAGGCCCCCAGTCAACTCTTCCCCCTCTCCCCCCCCTCCACTTCTCATCCCACAGAGTGCGGAGCTGGAAGCTCGTCTGGCTACTCTGAAGGAAGCGGAGGAGCAGAGGCGGTACAGAGAGCTCGTGAGAGACGTGGTCCCCAAGGGAGCAAAGGGGAGAGGGGCAATCGGTGCTGGTGGTGGTGCTGGTGGCGGTGATTGAGGCGTCCAGTCACCTCTTCCCTCTCCCCCTTCCATCCACCTCTCTCCTCACAGAGTGCGGAGCTGGAAGCTCGTCTGGCGGCTCTGAAGGAAGCGGAGGAGCAGAGGCAGTACAGAGAGCTCGTGCGAGTCGCCCTGAAGTTGCTCAGTCAACTCTTCCCCCTCTCCCCTCCCTCCACTTCTCATCCCACAGAGTGCGGAGCTGGAAGCTCGTCTGGCTACTCTGAAGGAAGCGGAGGAGCAGAGGCGGTACAGAGAGCTCGTGAGAGACGTGGTCCCAGGGGGGGGGAAGGGAGAAGAGCAGCTGCTGCTGGTGGTGGTGATTGAGAGGTCCAGTCACCTCCTCCCTCCCTCTCTCCCTTCCATCTACCTCTCTTCCCACAGAGTGCGGAGCTTGAAGCTCGTTTGGCTGCTCCGAAGGAAGCGGAGGAGCAGAGGCGGTACAGAGAGCTCGTGAGAGGCGTGGTCCCAGGGGGGGGGAAAGGGAGAAGAGCAGCTGCTGCTGGTGGTGGTGATTGAGGGGTCCAGTCACCTCCTCCCTCCCTCTCTCCCTTCCATCCGCCTCTCTTCCCACAGAGTGCGGAGCTTGAAGCTCGTTTGGCTGCTCTCAAGGAAGCGGAGGAGCAGAGGCAGTATAGAGAGCTCGTGAGAGACGTGGTCCCAGGGGGGGCAAAGGGGAGAAGGGCGGGAACTGGTGCAGGTGGTGGTGTTGACGATGAGGAGGATCTGGGAGGGCAGGGGGGGAGCTCGTACCTGGCATCATACAGAGAGCAGCTGGGGTTTGGTGAGTTCTTTTCCTTTTAATTTTCTTCTTTTTTTCTTCCGGATTGTTTATCTGTCGGTGGCTATGAAGCGGCACGTTCATTGCCTGCCACTGCTGCCGTTGTCTGCCAGTTCAGGTCAACGATGAGTTCATGATTATTTCTGAGCCGACACAAAAATCACTGCTTGCCACTGTCACGGTCTGCCAACTCTGCTGAGACTTGAGTTTTGTGGGTTTGGTGGGCTATTGTAGAGTCGACTAAGCGACTGTTTTGAAAAAAAATCGTGGCATCCTTTCTTGGCTCTGTGTGAGCTTATTAATTTCCTTTGTTTTTTCCTTCGTCCCCGTCCTGAGCAGCTTTCCCTTAAAGCCCTCCCTGCATACACACCTCCTTTGTGTTTTAATTTTCCGTCATCTTTTCTTCATCCCATCCCGAGCAGGCATGCATGTGGTGGGTGTGATGTTCACCTGTTACCTCTTGGGTCACTACGCTGCTTCTGCTCTCATCAAAGACCAACCTGCCCTGGTAAGCTCCATTCGTTAGCTCCACTGGTGAGCTGCACTGCCCTGTGTATGGTAGGCTGTGCGGCCCTGGCAGCTACCTGTTACCTCTTAGGTCACTTTGCTGCTTCTGCTCTCATCAAAGACCAACCTGCCCTGGTAAGATCCACTAGTAAGCTCCCTCATAAGCTCCATTGGTAAGCTCCCCTGGTAAGAGTCAATGCCGTAGGCTATGCAGTCTGGGCCAGCAGATTTGTCGAGTCAATCCTTCATCAGTGATGGGTGGGTATGATGTTCATCAGGTTCTTCTGAGTGTTCTTCAAGTGTTTTGCGTGTCTCCAGTGGTAAGAGTCAATGCCGTAGGCTATGCAGTCTGGGCCAGCAGATTTGTCGAGTCAATCCTTCATCAGTGATGGTGGGTATGATGTTCATCAGGTTCTTCTGAGTGTTCTTCAAGTGTTTTGCGTGTCTTCTCAACCACCGTGCCCTTTCCCCTCCCTCATGTGGTAGCATGTGGTAAGAGTTGCAGTGGAGTTGGGATTATTTTCAAAGCTTGTTTACCAACACCCTGACTCAACCTCCTTGTTTCCTGTCCCCTGCATTCCTAATTCCTTCTCACACGGCAGCACCCGGTGGGAGGTGCAGTGGGTTTGATATTTGGCATGCTGCTAGAAACCACACTCTTCATCATCCGTACGACGCAGCTTGAGGAGAAACAGGCAAGGCAACGCAGCAAAAAGGCTGCTAGGAAGCAGGGAGGGTCGGTACCACCACTAACTGCTGGGCGGGCTTCTACCCAAGGACCGAGACAGCAGAAAAGAGTCTTAGTGATGTTTCTGTGGGTTCTGAGGAGTTGGATGAGGTGCGGCAAGAGCTGATTGAACTGGCAGGGAGACGGCAGAAAGGAGCTGGCGTGTCAGGTTCTTCAAGGGGTTCCATGATGAGGAGGCGGAATGTGAGGCAATCTGACAGTGACTAATTTGGTTTCATGCATTGCTTGGTTCACCTCGGATTCCAACAGTTAACTTTTCCCATAATTTCAGTCAGTACGATTTCTTCTGACTGGCCATGTGAACATTTGTGGAGGGGCGTTTGTACAACATTCCTTAGTGCCAGCTCAAAATTCCCAAGCAGTCAGCCCATCCCCTGCACTGCCACGTGACTTGGCAAAGGAAACGGGGGATACGCTGAATTAGCAAGGAATAGTCCACTTCGTCAAATCAGAACAAGGGATATTCCTAGGGAGGGCAAACCGCGGTAGCCACATCCGCTCCAGCAATCCGCCTATGTGCAAACAATTGATGTACACGACTCAAAGCTACCCTGCTGCGACAGAGCATGCGACAAACGCTGCGACTCAACGAAATAGCTTAATCCTCATAAATCCTGCACTCGTCAGCAGCGGGGTTGTCGTCGCAGAACGCGTCAAGAGGGTCCGTGTAGGCTTCCTTCTTCTCCTCAGTCTTCTCAGCAGCAGCAGCAGCAGCCTCCTCTGCCTTGGCCTTCTCCTCCGCAGCCTTCTTCTCCTCAGCCTCCTTGGCCTCAGGCTGAGCCATGGCGACAATGCGGACAGAACGGATGCTGCGGACAGTGAGCGAGGAGGACTTCAGGGAGGCGGTCTGGACGAAAGAGCTGCGCCTGAAGGCGACAGCGGATGAAACACCGGCGGAGACCGCAAGAATGGCAGCCATTGCTAAATAGTCACTAAAATACGGTCTCCTGACGGTATTTGGAGTAAGATTGGATGGAACACCCTAGAATATGCGTGACCAGACAAGAAACTAGAATGCGTCTTGCCTTGAAACGCCAATGTCTTTCGTTGGAGGAGTATTCAAGCTCAACCAAAGATTGACAGGACAAGCTGACGGAGTTCCTGAAAAACGGACGGAATTGCTGACGGTTTCGCGAGTTCCTGCCTGTGCTGAAGCTGGTCTCGAGTGCTGCACCTTCGTGGCTTGACGACGGTACACGTGGTGGATATTGCCACGCTCGGAAAAGCAGAGGGCATGGACACCTCTGGGATGATTCGATCTGACACGTGGATAGGGGTGGGGCCAAGAATGTCGGGAAAGATGGCCATGCCGGAGGTCGAATTGCCACGCTGGCGAAGTGGAAGTCTCCAAAACTGATCCAATCCAGGTCACTTGCTGAAACATACCCCAGCTCTGCATTTGTGAAATTGCGATTTCACGTTATAGTTGCAGTCCGGTGCTATACTTCTCAAGAAAGATCCAAAGGTTTGGTGACACTCAATCCATCGCTCCAGTAATATTCGCGGATTTACACATTCCAGTACAGTGACATCCTATCTACGTAACAATTGCCAACTATACGTTCACTTCACCTAATCCAAATATGATATGATTTACGCATTGTCATTCATACCCTTTCTCATAAATTCCCAGCAAGAGCATAGCTCTAAACCTGAATTTTAATATTCCCGTCCTTGTATGAAAATCCCCGTCTGGTAAGTACCATGCGCACAGAGATGGCATGGTCAGTGCTGCATTCCTGAAAAAAAAAAAAAAACAAATACCTACATTCCATCACCTATGCTTCGTTTTCACCTGCGGAAAGAGGCAACAAACCATATATTGCTGCTTAGTTTCAGGTCCCCAACAAACCACGCAGCACCACCCAGTCACCGTATGCCACGGAAACGTCAAGAATTAGTGTGTTCAGAAAAAGGATATACCATAGCCTTCACATCACAACCATTGTCAGGTCAAACCAGAAGTTATTTATGGAACGCAAAACGAAACAGGCATAGCTCAGCCCTTGCCAAGTAAAAGATCCGTCTATGGACATCATGGCTAGGCTAGTCTGACTGACTAAAAAATCCACATGTATACTACCAGTCAATCGCTCAGTCAGAGTAGATCCTGCACTCATCCTCAGAGGGATTCTCGTTGCAGTACTTCTCAAGGGGATCCTCGTAATCCGCTTCCTTCTGCTTCAAAGCCTGATCAGCAGCGGCAGCTGAGATCTCCTCCACCTCATCCCACGCAGCAGCGCACTCAGCGGTGGAGTTCGGATCGGAGCAGGTCTCTTGAGCAGCAGCGATCTTCTCCTGAATCTCCTTCTTCAGATCAGGCTGGGCCATGGCCACGATGCGGACCGCACGGGTGCTGCGAACATTGACGGGCTTCGCAGACAACTTCAGCGAGGAAGGTCTGGACGAAAGAGCTCGAGAGAGCAGCAGCAGCCGAAGCAGAGACCGACGCGAGAGCAGCCATGATAAACTATGACGCGTTGATGCAATAGCCGAGTCGGTCTGAAGGCGGGGTTTATGGCGAGGAGCTGTAAGCTAATCTTGCCTGAGCGAATGCCAGAAAAAGGGTTTCAACTTTACCAGCAAATATGAATTGTTTCCCGCCTTTCACGACACCAGGCAGGCGGAAAGTTTTCCTAGCTTTCTGCGCTGAACCATCCGCGACAGAAGTTGGGGTTCGGATGGTTATTTCAGTGGTTTTGGGGGTTGACAGGTATTTTCGAGGGTTGAAAGGGGGTTCTCTAGCCGCGCATGAAGACAGCTCCCCTCGTGTGGCGCCGCCGGACATCCAGAATGCGCTGGAAAGTCTGGGAGGGCACGGGGAAGCAACGCGGCAAGGAGGGATGAGACAGCGAAGCAAAACAAGATTTCCCCGTGAAGCATGACCCGTTTGGATCAAGGGTAGTGTGTCTAAGACAAGCATGCAGTTTTGCTAAATAAAATGGCGTCTTAGACAGGTTCTGATTTCCTGATTCGCTGTGGCAGCCTTATAATGTGTGTACATGTCACAGATACCGGTACCTTTAAAATATTGTTGGGAACACGATAATTCACTCTGTTATCTAATCAGGTACCGTATCATACTATAACAAAGGTCCACCCCACCCACAAATGCCTGCACGCCATTGTAACAAGCCCTGCCGGCACGTCCTGGTACAATGACTTTGCACACACAACATTACCTGCAAACTTTACAAACTATAAACACATGTACATGATTGTACGACAGCCTCTGAAACTAAAGCATATGTACCCACACTTGCTTATGATGACTCTCGTCACCACTACCAACATCAGCAGTATCCACATCATCCAAACCAGCATCCACCATACCATCACCTCCATCTCCTCCCTTCCTCCCACTCCCGTCCCCCTCCTTTCCACCCAATACCAATGCATCATCACCATTAATCCCCCCACCCACACCCCCAAAGCCAAACCCACTTCCGAACCCACTTCCCTAACCCAAATCCCCCGGCCCAACTTCCCCCACCTATCCACTCCCCATCTCCATTATACCTCCTCACATACTCCTCTCCCCCCCACCTCTCGTCCCTTAAAGCCTGCCAAATACACATCGCCTCCTGAGATCCCCATACAGCTGCTGTTTGCCCCTCCCCCTCCTCCTCCCTGCTCCTCCAACTGCTGTACCCCATATAAGCCAGGTACGATACAAGGCACAGGAGTGTGAGAGAAAGGAGAACAAGCAGAGCGATGGTATAACCAGGCATGGAGGAACCAGTTGAAGGGCCCGTGTCACTGTTGCTGCCGCCAGTAGTACCACCACCACTGCTGTTGCTGCCGCTACCACTGCCGCTACCACTGCTGCTGCTGCCGCTACCACTGCTGCTGCTCTCGCCTGCCGCCTCAGCTTGGCTCTTCACACCAAAGTCCCCGATCTCCCCACTGACCTGATTCAAGGCATCAAACACAGCAGGGGCTGAGTAGTCACCTGCCTCCTTCACCCCTGCTGCACTGCCATTGCCAGCACCACCACTGGTCCCACCACCACTGCCACCACCAGCACCAGCACCAGCACCAGCAGCACCGGGCAAAGGACCTGGGCGGGAGATCTGGGAGAGGTCGAGAGTGAACCGCTCCACGTGCCGCTCCTCCCAGCGGGGCCTTCTGCTTCCACGTCACGCCCTCCAGATTTACAATGCTGTAGGTCGGTGGGGCTACAGATTTCAAGCGCTCGCCTGTAGCCGGGTTGAAGGATACCTGGTCATGGGAGGGAGGAGGATGAAGAGAGTGAACCGCTCCACGTGTCGCTCCTCCCATCGTGCCTTTTCCTGCCATGTCACGCCCTCCAGATTCACAATGCTGTAGGTCGGTGGGGTCACTGTCTTGAGCCGCTCGCCTGTAGCCGGGTTGAAGGATACCTGGTGATCAGGATTGGAATCGGGGATAAGAATGGGCAAGGGAGGGAAAAGGGCGAGGAGATTTGAGAGAGGTCGAGAGTGAACCGCTCCACGTGTCGCTCCTCCCAGCAGGCCTTTCCTGCCACGTCACGCCCTCCAGATTTACAATGCTGTAAATCGGTGGGGCTACAGATTTCAAGCGCTTCGCCTGTAGCTGGGGTAAATGAGACCTGGTTGTGGTGGAGGGATGGATGGGGACGGTGGGAGGACAACTGAGACGTCTCAAAACCACAATGCGGTCGGGTCGGGGCTACAGATTTCAATCGCTCGGCTGTAGCTGGGGTGAATGAGACCTGGTTGTGGTGAAGGGGTGGATGGGGACGGTGGGAGGACAACTGAGACGTCTCAAAACCACAATGCGGGTCGGTCGGAGGGGGCTACAGATTTCAATCGCTCGCCTGTAGCTGGGGTGAATGAGACCTGGTGGTGGTGGGATGGATGGGGATGGTGGGAGGAAGGGCAATGCTGTAGGTCGGAGGGGCCACAGATTTCAAGCGCTCGCCTGTAGCTGGGGTGAATGAGGACCTGGTGGTGGTGGGGTGGATGGGGACAGTGGGAGGACAATGCTGTAGGTCGGTGGGGCTACAGATTTCAAGCGCTCGCCTGTAGCCGGATTGAAGGATACCTGGTGGTGGTGGGATGGATGGGGATGGTGGGAGGAAGGGCAATGCTGTAGGTCGGTGGGGCTACAGATTTCAATCGCTCGCCTGTAGCTGGGGTGAATGAGACCTGGTGGTGGTGGGATGGATGGGGATGGTGGGAGGAAGGGCAATGCTGTAGGTCGGTGGGGCTACAGATTTCAATCGCTCGCCTGTAGCTGGGGTGAATGAGACCTGGTGGTGGTGGGGATGGATGGGGATGGTGGGAGGAAGGGCAATGCTGTAGGTCGGTGGGGCTACAGATTTCAATCGCTCGCCTGTAGCTGGGGTGAATGAGACCTGGTGGTGGTGGGTATGGATGGGGATGGTGGGAGGAAGGGCAATGCTGTTAGGTCGGTGGGGCTACAGATTTCAATCGCTCGCCTGTAGCTGGGGTGAATGAGGACCTGGTTGTGGTGAAGGGGTGGATGGGGACGGTGGGAGGACAACTGAGACGTCTCAAAACGACAATGCGGTCGGTCCGGGGCTACAGATTTCAATCGCTCGCCTGTAGCTGGGGTGAATGAGACCTGGTGGTGGTGGGGTGGATGGGGATGGTGGGAGGAAGGGCAATGCTGTAGGTCGGTGGGGCCACAGATTTCAATCGCTCGCCTGTAGCTGGGTTGAATGAGACCTGGTTGTGGTGAAGGGGTGGATGGGGATGGTGGGAGGAAGGGCAATGCTGTAGGTCGGTGGGGCTACAGATTTCAATCGCTCGCCTGTAGCTGGGTTGAATGAGACCTGGTTGTGGTGAAGGGGTGGATGGGGACGGTGGGAGGACAACTGAGACGTCTCAAAACCACAATGCGGTCGGTGCGGGGCTACAGATTTCAATCGCTCGCCTGTAGCTGGGGTGAATGAGACCTGGTGGTGGTGGGGTGGATGGGGATGGTGGGAGGAAGGGCAATGCTGTAGGTCGGTGGGGCTACAGATTTCAATCGCTCGCCTGTAGCTGGGGTGAATGAGACCTGGTGGTGGTGGGATGGATGGGGATGGTGGGAGGAAGGGCAATGCTGTAGGTCGGTGGGGCTACAGATTTCAATCGCTCGCCTGTAGCTGGGGTGAATGAGACCTGGTTGTGGTGAAGGGGTGGATGGGGACGGTGGGAGGACAACTGAGACGTCTCAAAAACCACAATGCGGTCGGTCGGGGCTACAGATTTCAATCGCTCGCCTGTAGCTGGGGTGAATGAGACCTGGTGGTGGTGGGGTGGTATGGGGATGGTGGGAGGAAGGGCAATGCTGTAGGTCGGTGGGGCCACAGATTTCAATCGCTCGCCTGTAGCTGGGTTGAATGAGACCTGGTTGTGGTGAAGGGGTGGATGGGGATGGTGGGAGGAAGGGCAATGCTGTAGGTCGGTGGGGCTACAGATTTCAATCGCTCGCCTGTAGCTGGGTTGAATGAGACCTGGTTGTGGTGAAGGGGTGGATGGGGACGGTGGGAGGACAACTGAGACGTCTCAAAACCACAATGCGGTCGGTCGGGGGCTACAGATTTCAATCGCTCGCCTGTAGCTGGGGTGAATGAGACCTGGTGGTGGTGGGGTGGATGGGGATGGTGGGAGGAAGGGCAATGCTGTAGGTCGGTGGGGCTACAGATTTCAATCGCTCGCCTGTAGCTGGGTTGAATGAGACCTGGTTGTGGTGAAGGGGTGGATGGGGACGGTGGGAGGAGGGGGCTACAATGCGGTCGGTCGGAGGGGCTACAGACTTGAGCCGTTCACCTGTAGCCAAGTCATCCCCGTGAAGACAGTGCATCCTTGCGGCACGCCTCGAAAGCACGCCTCGAAAGCACGCCAGCACACCCCTTCCCAGCGCAAGTGTCACTTGCAGTTGCAGAAACATACATGGAACACACACAAAGTCTGACCCTTGCCCTCCTCACCTGCCCTGTTGTTCCCGTGAAGTTGATGCATCCACGCAGCACGCCTTTAAAGCACGCCAGCACAAGCTCCTTAGTGGGTGCTGCATCTGCGATTTGGAGATGCACACATGTGGAAACACGCACACATGCAAAACGCCTTTAAAACACGCCAGCACAAGCTCCTTAGTGGATGCTGCATCTGCGAATTGGAGACACACACATGGAAACAATATTGGATACACTTTTGAGAGCTCTCAGAAGCGATACGACTTCTGAGTCGACTCAAAAGTCGCCTAGCGATACAAGCAAAGAAGGGGTGAACGGTATCGAACAGGTACGGCACGTATTGGCGGGTGGTGTTGAAGCGGGGAGAGTGAGGTGGGGGAAAGTGGGGCAGGGATAGAGGGATCCAAGTAAACTCCACACCCCACCCCACCAAGACACTCACTCTGGTTGGCAATAATGTTGCTGAAGGCCTCGAAGAAGGCGTGAACAGCGTCAAACAGGTACGGCACGTATTGACGGGTGGTGTTGAGTCGAGGGAGGGAAGGGGAGGGAGTAAGGGAAGGGGGAGGGAGTAAGGGAGGGAGAGAGGGACCCAAGTCAACTCCACTCCACACCCACCCACCAAGACACTCACTCTGGGTGGCGATGATGCTGCTAAAAGCTTCGAAGAAGGCGTGAACGGCGTCAAAGAGGTAGGGCACGTATTGGCGGGTGGTGTTGAAGCGGGGGAGTGAGTGGGGGGAAGGGAAGGAGGAAGCCTGTGACCCTCTCTTAGGATCGGATGGAAGAGTCTCCACCCACCAAGACAACTCACTCTGGCTGGCGATGATGCTGCTGAAGGCTTCAAAGAAGGCGTGAACGGCATCAAACAGGTACGGCACGTATTGGCGGGTGGAGTTGAATCAGGGGAGGGGGAGGGGGGGAGGGGGAGGGAGAGAGACGGAGGGACTAGAAGTAGCCCCACTAGCTGAAGGCAGGTGGATGAAAGCAGCTGAAGAACTCACTCTGGTTGAACGGCAGCAGCTGAAGCACTCACTCTTGATGGCAATGATGCTGCTGAAAGCTTCAAAGAAGGCATGAAGGAGAGTAGCGGATGGGAGATGAAGGCAGGGCAAGGCAACTGTGACACTCACTCTGGTTGAACGGCCGGAGCGGAGGTACTCACTCTGGTTGAACGGCCGGAGCGGAGGTACTCACTCTGGCTGGTGATAATGCTGCTGAAAGCCTCGAAAAAGGAGTGAGCGGCATCGAACAGGCAGGTGGCCTTGCTAGCAGATGGAAGCCAGGTAGTAACCCCGAGACACTCACTCTGGCTGGCGATAATGCTGCTGAAAGCTTCAAAGAAGGCGTGAACGGCGTCGAACACGTATGGCACGTAATGGCGGGTGGTGTTGAATAGGGGGGAGGGGGGAAGGGGAGGGAGAGAGACGAAGTATGGTATTGCCCCCACCCACCAAGACACTTACTCTGGTTGGCGATAATGCTGCTGAAGGCCTCAAAGAAGGCGTGAACGGAGTCAAACAGGTACGGCACGTATTGACGGGTGGTGTTGAATCGGGGGAGTGAGGTGGGAGGAAGGGGAGAAAGTCCCTAGTCATCCCCTCATCGGATGGTGGTATCCCCACACCCCACCCACCGAGAAACTCACTCTGGTTGGCGATAATGCTGCTGAAAGCCTCGAAGAAGGCGTGAATGGCGTCGAACAGGTAGGGCACGTATTGGCGGGTGGTGTTGAATCGGGGGAGGGAAGGCCCGACGTCCAGAGTGAGCAATCCAGGGTAGATGTCATGGCGCTTGGTGCGCCAGTGCATTATGTACTCCCATATGGGGGAGGAGTCCGAGTAGTCTCCCTCTGAAGGATGGAAGGGGCAATGGGAGGGAAGAAAGGGTGGGGGGGGGAGGAAGGACGAGGCAGGGAGAGTGAGCTAACCGGGATAAATGTCATGGCGCTTGGTCCGCCAGTGCATTATGTACTCCCATATGGGGGGACGAGTCCGAGTAGTCTCCCTCTGTAAGCGAGGGAATGACATAGGCAGAAGGGAGGGGTAGAGGTGGGCGTGGCGTTGAGAGTGAGCAAGCCCAGGTAGATGTCATGGCGCTTGGTCCGCCAGTGCATTATGTACTCCCATATGGGGGAGGAGTCCGAGTAGTCTCCAACTGGTAGGTGGGACATTGGGAAGGAGGGCAAAAGGGGTGCAGTAGTGTATTCTCAAGACTCAGAAGCCTCAGAAACCTCAGAAGCCTCAGAAGCCTCAGAAGCCTCAGAAAACTCAGAAGCCTCAGAAGCCTCAGAAGCCTCAGAAACCTCAGAAGCCTCAGAAGCCTCAGAAGCCTCAGAAGCCTCAGAAACCTCAGAAGCCACGTGAAACAAGTGAGTTTATGAGACGTCTCAAAAGTCTTTTGACAGGTTCTTACCTGCAGTAGAGTATTCTCAAGATACCTCAGAAGCAGCATGTTGACACCTATACTATTTCAAAGTCCGCACTTACTGTAAGGAGCGACCCCCATCTCCCCTTGCAGTGCTGACGTCAGCGCTGACAGATTCTGACCTGCAGTGGTGGATGGGTGGTTGGGAAACAAGCAGGAGAGGAGAGGAGAATGAGTAGCTCTTAAGCGTTTTGAGGCGCCTCAAAAGGGAGGAGAATGAGTTATCTTTACGAGTCACTTTTGAGAACCGTTTTTTTAGAGTCGCTTTTCGGATTTCTCAGGATTGACTCCAAAATAACGAGATTGGGACACAAGCAGGAGAAGAGAGGAGAATGAGCAGGAAAACCCACCCAATATTTTCCCCTTTTCCTCACTGTCACCAGGCACATCCGTAGCTCCCTTGTTGCTCACCTTTTGAGGCGCCTCAAAAGCAGTTGAGGAGAGGAGAACGGGCAGGAGGAGAACCCACCCAATAGTTTCCCCTTTTATTGCTCACCTCCCCCACAAGATCGAATGCCACTGCTCGAGGGGTATCCCAACACCTCAGCAATCATGCCATGCCACTGCTCCCTAGAACCCCCTTCTCACCTTCCCCAGTTCCCCCCTTCTCACCTTCCCCAGTCCCCCCGTCTCACCTTCCCCAGTTCCCCCCGTCTCACCTTCCCCAGTTCCCCCCGTCTCACCTTCCCCAGTTCCCCCCGTCTCACCTTCCCCCACAAGGTCGAATGCCACTGCTCCATCCGTGCCGAAATACCACCACGGGGTATTCCAACACCTAAGTGATCATGCCAGGCCACTGCTCCCCAGACCCCCCGTCTCACCTTCCCTAATTCTTCCCAGTTCCCCCCGTCTCACCTTCCCTAATTCTTCCCAGTTCCCCCCGTCTCACCTTCCCTAGTTCTTCCCAGTTCCTCCCGTCTCACCTTCTCCCACAAGATCGAATGCCACTGCTCCATCCGTCCCGAAATACCACCACGGGTATTCCAATTTCCACCACCTCAGCAGCCATGCTAGGCCACACCTCACTAGACCTCTCATCTCACCTTCCTCAGTTCCCTACTCTCCTCGTCTCACCTTCCCCCACAAGGTCGAATGCCACTGCTCCATCCGTCCCGAAATACCTTTTTAGAGTTGAGCTCGCCCAACGCTCTCCCCTTTTCCCTACCGCCCCCGTCCCCCACCTTCCCCAGAACCCCCCCCTTCTCACCTTCCCACCAAGGTCGAATGCCACTGCTCCATCCGTGCCGAAATACCACCACGGATATTCCAACCGACCCTGGTGGTTTCCGCAAGGGGGGGGAAGGAAGAATGGGGAACCTGGTGAATGAGTGAGGGGCGTTGAGGGGCGTTGAGGGGCGTGGAGGGGCGGGGAGGGGCGGGGAGGGGCGTGGAGGGGCGAGGAGGGGCGTGGAGGGGTGTGGAGGGTATTGGAGAGACCAGATTTGAAGGGGATATCCCTCACCAGGCCGAGAGCCGCACGCCAGATGCCCTCGGCTGCATTGGGTGAGACCGCGAGGAGCGAGGACCACTATTGTGGTGGCCTTCAAGCACCCCCACGCCCCTCCAAGCCGCTCATCCGAGTCATCAGCTTGAATGAGCGGCTTGGAGGGGCGTGGGGGTGCTTCAAGGGGTAAGTGTCTCAGGGTAGGAATGAGACCAGACTTGAAAGGAAAATGCCACTCACCAGGTCTAGAGCCGCCCTCCAAATGCCTTCAGCTGCGTTGGGCGAGACGGCGAGGACTACAACCGTGGAGTCATCGGCTTGGATGAGCGGCTTGGCGGGGCTTGGGCAGTGTTGCCGTATCACTCACCCAATTGGGATATCATCACTCACCAGGTCTAATGCAGCCCTCCAGATGCCCCCGGCTGCATTGGGCGAGACGGCGAGGACCACCACTGTGGAGTCACCGGCTTGAATGAGCGGCTTGGAGGGGCTTGGATCGGAGAGGTTGAGGAAGAGCGAGGAGTAGTTGGAGCAGGGCACTGGCACGGGAATGCTGTGTACTGCCAGATTGTCACTGCGCGCGAAATACTGGAGGGAGGGAGGAGGAAACAGGGGAGAAGTGATTTCATTAGCTTGAATGAGCGGCTTGGCGGGGCTTGGATCGGAGAGGTTGAGGAAGAGCGAGGAGTAGTTGGAGCAGGGCACTGGCACGGGAATGCTGTGTACTGCCAGATTGTCACTGCGCGCGAAATACTGGAGGGAGGGAGGAGGAAACAGGGGAGAAGTGATTTCATTAGCTTGAATGAGCGGCTTGGAGGGGCTTGGATCGGAGAGGTTGAGGAAGAGAGAGGAGTAGTTGAGGCAGGGCACTGGGAGGGGTATGCTGTGCACCGTGAGGTTGTCAGTGCGCGCGAAATACTGGAGGGAGGGGGGTGAGGGGAGAAGAGGGGAGGAGGGAGAAGAGGTTGAGGAGGAGAGAGGAGTAGTTGAGGCAGGGCACTGGGACGGGTATGCTGTGCACTGTCAGGTTTTCACTGCGAGCAAAGTACTGTAGGGAGGGAAGGATGGGAGGGGTTGAGGAAGAGCGAGGAGTAGTTGAGGCAGGGCACTGGCACGGGTATGCTGTGCACTGTCAGGTTGTCGTTACGAGCGAAATACTGGAGGGAGGGAGCGGGGGAAGGTAGGGAGGGTGGGGAGATCAGGCAACGTAGAGAGGGGAGTGGTTGGAGCAGGGCACTGGCACGGGAATGCTGTAAACTGTCAGGTTGTCGTGCGGGCGAAGTACTGAGGGAAGGGAATGGAAGGGATCGGAGGGAAGGGAGAGAGGGAGGGAGGAAGGGAGGAAATGGAGGAGAGGTTGAGTATGAGAGGGGACTGGTTGGAGCAGGGAATTAGAAAGGGTATGCTGTGCACTGTCAGGTTGTCACTGCGAACGAAATACTGGGGGGAGAGTGGGGAGATCTGCTGGGAACATCAAGCAACAGAGGGAGGGGAGCAGTTGGAGCAGAGCACTGGGGCGGGTGTCGCCTCAATGTCATAGCCTAGCGCTGAGCCAAATGTCTCCTCTGTGAAGAACAGAATGACTCGGTCAAACACCAAGGCGAAGGTGCCTGTAACAATGCCTCTGCTCTGCGCACTCCAACAGCTCTCACCTCAATGTCATAGCCCAGTGCTGAGCCATACGTGTCCTCTGTGAAGAACAGGATGACTCGCTCAAAGACGATGTTACCGATTGCGAAGCCACTTTGCACACTCACACATCTCACCTCAATGTCGTAACCTAGCGCTGAGCCGTACGTATCCTCCGTGAAGAACAGGATGACTCGGTCAAGCACACCGGGACACATGCAGGCACGCGCACACGTATACATGCAATCACGCGCACGAATGTAAGTTTCTTTGCAGCTCACCTCAATATCATAACCTAGCGCTGACCCATATGTGTCCTCTGTGAAGAACAGGATTACTCGATCAAAGACACCAAGGGACTCATGCAAGCATGCAACCACACACGCATGCAATCAAATCAAGCGCATTGCTCACCTCGATATCATAACCTAGCGCTGACCCATATGTGTCCTCTGTGAAGAACAGGATTACTCGCTCAAACACAAACTCCTGCAGCAGGGAGCGCATGGCCGCTGCTTGGTGCCTGTCGCCGAAGCTGCGGGGAGGGGGAGGGAGGGGGTGGGTGGATGCGGATGCAAAGAGGAGAGGCATTCTAAGGGCGCAGCAGAGAGAGGAGCGAGAGCATTGCTGCTGCCTAGTGCCTGTCGTCAAAGCTGTGGACAGGGGGGGAGTGGGTGCAGATGCAAGGAGGAGAGGCATATTAAGAGTGCAGCAAACACAAACTCTTGAAGGAGGGAGCGCATTGCTGCTGCCTGGTGCCTGTCGCCAAAGCTGTGGGGAGGGAGGGGGCAGAGAGGCGAGGAGAAGTGGAAGCGAGTGTTTGAGCGCAGCAGGGAGCGCATTGCTGCTGCCATACGCATCGCCGAACCTGGGTCCACGGTGGATGGTGGGTGGGGATGAAGGCAAGGAGGCAAGGAAACAGCACACGTATGTTGAGTGAAAAGGATGATTCGTTCAAACACGAATCCGAGCCCCCAAGTCCCGTAGACTAGACTCACACAGCGCAAAAGAATGAGCCGAATATCTCTTCTGGTCTCTGAACCCATCCCACGTGGCAGCGAAGGAGAGAACTGGAACGCCAGCATGGTGCTGCAGTTTCAACCATCTCAACCCAACCTAACCCATTTCCTTCCACCTCCTTTGACTCACACAGTGCGGAAGAAGGAGCCGAATCTCTCGCGGTCTCGGAACCCATCCCATGTGGTGCCGGGTGCCCTATGAACCAGCTCAACCCAGCCCAACCGAAATCAGCATTTCTTTTATCTCACACATCCACTCAAGACTCACACAATGCGGAAGAAGGAGCCGAATCTCTCCCGGTCTCTGAACCCATCCCACGTGGTGCCCTGTAAACCAGCACAACACCCCTCGAACCAGCTCAACCCAACCCAACCGATTCCTTATTCCCCTTACACACACCCTCTCGACTCACACAGTGCGGAAGAAGGAGCCGAATCTCTCCCAGTATCTGAACCCATCCCACGTGGCAGCGAAGGAAACGATGGGCACGCCAGCAGGCACCAGCACGTCCGCTGCTCCCAGCACTGCCAACCGAGCTCAGCCCAGCTCAACCGATTTCCACCTGCCCTTAACTCACACAGTGCGAAAGAAGCTGCCGAATCTCTCCCGGTCTCTGAACCCATCCCACGTGGCAGCAAACGACACGATGGGAACGCCAGCAGGTACAAGCACGTCTGCTGCTCCCAGCGCTGCCTCTGTGCATGCTGGGCCCACCACTCCCACCACCCCGTCCCTTAATAGGAGCTGCACGGGGGTCAGGCGTGGAGAGGGGCAGAGAGGGGTGGAGAGGGGCAGAGAGACACCATGGGAACGCCAGCAGGCACCAGCACGTCTGCTGCTCCCAGCGCTGCCTCTGTGCACGCCGGGCCCACCACTCCCACCACTCCATCCCTTAGTAAGAGCTGGAAAGGAACAGTGAGAGAGGCAGAGGCAGGAGGTGACAGGCGTGGAGAGGGGCGAAGAGGGGTGGAGTGGAGAGGGACAGAGAGACACGATGGGAACGCCAGCAGGCACAAGCACGTCTGCTGCTCCCAGCGCTGCCTCTGTACACGCTGGACCCACCACTCCATCTCGTAGCAGCAGCTGCCGGGGGGACAGGCAGATTCAGGGCTAGGCGTGGAGAGGGGCGGAGAGGGGCGGAGAGGGGCAGAGAGGGGCGGAGAGGGGTGGAGAGGTACGGAGAGACACCATCGGAACACCAGCAGGCACCAGCACGTCTGCTGCTCCCAGCGTTGCCTCTCTACACGCCAGGCCCACCACGCCCACCGCTCCGTCTCGTAGCAACAACTGGAAGGGGGAGAGACAGGCGTGAAGAGCGGCGGAGAGGGGTGGAGAGGGGTGGAGAGGGGCCGAGAGACACCATGGGAACATCGGCAGGCACCAGCACGTCTGCTGCTCCCAGCGCTGCCTCTGTACAAGCCGGGCCCACCACGCCCACCACCCGCTCCCTTTACAAAAGCTGGAACACCAGGTGCATCTGAACTCTTTGCTTTCTCCAATACTGCCCCTCCCCTCCCCTAAGCGGCCTTTGAGACGTCTCAAAACACTCCTTTTATCACGTGGATTTACAGAAGCTGGAACACCAGAGGCATCTGAACGCTTTGCTTTCTCCTATACTGCCCCTCCCCTCGCCTGCGCAGCCTCCTTGGCCTCCTGTCAGTCGCAGTTTGAGTTGGCAATGTGTGGCACCACATCAAAGGGAAAGGGCATCCGAGCACTTAGGAGGACCCACCATGCCCACCCCTCCCCTCACCTGCGCAGCCTCCTTGGCCTCCTGCCGGTCGCAGTTGGAGTTGGCAATGTGCGGCACCACGTCAAATGCGTCTGAGAGTACTTGGAAGGGAAGAAGCAACCCAGCATCCCCCCGGGCCACCGCATGCACGCATGCTCTCTCTCACACACACGAATCTGGGTTTTCTGACCCACCTGTACCGCCCCTCCTCTCACCTGCGCAGCCTCCTTGGCCTCCTGTCGGTCGCAGTTGGAGTTGGCAATGTGCGGCACCACATCAAAGGCGTCCGAGTATTTGGGGGCTAGCACCTCCAGAGCCACTCTTGATGCTGCAATCCTGAACAGGTGGGGTGATAGGAGTGAGAGGGATAGAGAGTGTTGGCAGTAGGCAGAGCAATATGCGGCACCACATCAAAGGCGTCCGAGTATTTGGGGGCTAGCACCTCCAGAGCCACTCTTGATGCTGCAATCCTGAACAGGTGGGGTGATAGGAGTGAGAGGGATAGAGAGTGTTGGCAGTAGGCAGAGCAATATGCGGCACCACATCAAAGGCGTCCGAGTATTCGGGGGCCCTAGCACCTCCAGAGCGACCCTTGATGCTGCTATCCTGAACAATGGCGTATAGAGAGTGAGAGGAAAGGGGAGAAGGGGAGTGGTCAGTAGGGCAATGTGCGGCACCACGTCAAATGCGTCCGAGTATTTGGGTCCTAGCACCTCCAGAGCCACTCTGGACGCTGCGATCCTGAACGAGGGCGTTGAGAGAATGGGAGGAGGGGAGAGAAAGGGAGTGGTTAGCGGTGGGTGGGGCAATGTGCGGCACCACATCAAAGGCGTTCGAGTATTTGGGTCCTAGCACCTCCAGAGCCACTCGTGACGCCGCGATCCTGAAATAGAGGAGTAGAGAAGGTGAGAGGGAGAGAGAGCGAGTGGATGAGATGAGAGGGAGAGAGGGTGAGGGCGAGAGGTAGAGAGGTTGCGAGAACTCCTTTGGACAAATCTTCTCAAGGTATGAGCCCTATTTGGGTCCTAGTGCGACCTCTAGAGAGACTCGAGAAGCGTGTGGGGATAATGAAATCCGTTTACAGGTACGCGATATGAAAAGATCCAGACAAGTGCAAAAGAACCTTGAACGAGGCGCGTACCACTCGTCTGCGAGGCGCAGGGGAATGACGTGGTCGGCTTTAGGATACGGCAGCAGGAACCCGAGCTTCACCACCTGCCGAACCGAACCAGCAGCTTCGGCTTCCAGGCTCGGCGAGAGCGAGGAGAGAAAAACGATGACGAGCAACAGAGGGAGCACATGCGACCGTAACGAGCTGCACTTGAATGACTGTAGACGGGTGTGATTGTACGAGTGCGCTGCGAGCAATCTTTCAAGATGCCGTCGGGTGTCAGCCATTGCAAACTTCGTAGAGAATGCCGTGAAGACCAGCAGGTCAGGTGGTAACCACTGATAGCAGGCGACAGGCGAATACGCAAAGGCTTTCGCACGACGCTGGTTTCTCAGTAGTGACACGCCTGGCACCCTCCCTTCGATTCGGATGACTATTTAAGCTGACTGTTTCGGCTGGATTTCTGGCGTTTTGCGTACTCTAGATGATCGCACTAAGTTTCTCCTTTCTCGTTCGCAACCCGCTGACTCCTTCCTTGCAACAGCCTTTCTGGCGTCTACTACTCGGGACGGGAATAGTGGCTCGACTAATTTAGAAGTTGGTGATTATCTGTTTCCCTGTCGTTTGCAAACTATCACTGCACTGTTTTGAGAGAAGCGAGAGAAGCCAGGCAGAAGGAACGGCACGCGGATTAGGAGCTAGCAGAAAGAGTTAGGAGGCTCTAAGGAGAATCGGAGGCAATCAGACAAGCTGGATACCTGCGCTCCAGTCGTATGCAACCTAAACGTGTCGGGCTAGGAACGCGAACTGGAAACAAGCTCTAGAAACTAACTATCTTTGAATCAACGAGCAACAGAGAACCAGCTTTCTGAGCTAGCTAGAACTGTGTGAACAAAGAGTACGGCACACAGTACTCGCTACAAAACTCGCTACGAATCTCCCCGCTTGACTCCATGGTTCTCTCGTGAGGGTCCCACGCCTTCGTCACCTGGGCGTCCAGTGCGGTACAGAAGGCTTTCACACGGTAATAGATGGCTGCTTGCCGGTTACCGTTCTCAAACGTACCAAACCGTGATATTGTACGTGATTATTGTACGTGAATGCGACCCCTCTTTAGTACTTCCCAGTTATCGAGATTTGAACTTGGAATGTTCCCCGTCAGCATCGAGGACACTTGTCGCACAGCACTATGATTTGCATCAGCGTCGAATCGCGATGGCGACTGAACGACTTTGACTGACAGGCGTCGCTTCCACTAGGATGCGTCGTTCTTTGTAAAGCTGTCGGTAGCGAAGCTTGACGCGGTGAATGCGACGGGCCACTATTGGCTGAAAATGCCACCGCGAAGGTGCAAGAACCTGGGTGTAGATTGGAAAATAAGAGTGCAGTGAAAATTTTAGTAAGACTGAACAAAATATTTGATTGTGGTACGTAATGCCACTTGGGCAATGAATGATAAACCCATCAGAACTTGCCATCAGGCTGAAGCAGAACAGAAAAAATGCATGTACGCTCTGACATATCTCATTATTCATAAACGATAGGATCAATTGGAAGAGTCCTGGATTTTCTAATCTGCCCCCCCCATCCCTTGCTCTCCCGCTCCTGTCCAAACCCTAAACCATCCTCACAATGTTGCCGATCCTTCCCAGTTCTACCATATCCAACCATACGGTCTCTTTCTTGCCTCGATAAACTCTGCTGGTCATCCAGATAATAGTCCTGGCCGCTGCTGCCCCAAGGACCACCAGTCTCCAAACCATACTCCACCGCAGAGTATCTACTAGCAGACCACACGGTCATGCTCCGACTTTTAATAGGAAGTCCAAATTCCAACTCATCGTCATCATCCTCTATATAATCATCCGGATCGGGTTTTCGAAAGCCAGTAAATCCCGCCCTTCTGCGTGTGTCTTCATAACTAGCCTCTCGCCTCTGCTCCAGGCCCCGTGCTACTACCGGTAGCACCTCCTCTCTCCCACTCCACCCCTCCACCCCTGCCACTCCACAATGCCGAAACAACTCCTCACGTACCTCCGCATCTCTCCCACCCTCCTCATACTCCTCGTCCTCATACTCGAAGCGTCGGGCATGCGTAACATCAGCTCTTCTCTTGACCGCAGCACTGTGCATTGCGAAAATAGCATCTAGGTTTATCTCTGCATCAGCAGCTGCTGCTGCGGCTGCTGCTGCTGCTGACCCTACTGGTGCAGAAGGAATCAACCCCCTGCTGCTGCTGCTGCTGCTGCGGCTGATGCTAACCGGATCGACGCTCCTGGTGTTACTGCCGCTGTTACTGCTGCTGTTGTTAATGCTGATGCTCCCGCTGCTGCTGGCAACACTGAAGCTGCCACTGCTGCCACCAATGCCGATACTGCCGCTGCTGCTTTTGCCGACGCCGATGCTTCCGCTGCTGCTACCACTGGTGGAGCTGCTTCTGAGCCAAGAGCAGCTGCGGCTGCCCTGGCTGTCAGTCAGCAAGCCTCTCTCTGCCACTCCTGCCAACTTCTCTCTCCGCCCTATTGTGAAGCTGCGACTCCCACCCACACCTCCCCACTCCCTTGCAGACCCCTCCACACCTCCCCACTCCCCCACAGACCCCTCCACACCTCCCCATCCCCTCTTTTGCATCTCCTCAGCAATTCTCTCCCTCCTTTCCTCCTCTCTCCTCTCCGCTTCCCAAAGCAAGTCACTCGACCTATCCCGAGCTGCTGGGGTGTCAAGCCCTCCCTCTCCCCCTCCTCCTCCCCCTCCTCCTCCTCCTCCTTCCCCTCTTCCTCCCTTTCCAACTCCGTACCTTCTAACCCTCTCACACACACCCCCTTCGCTCATATTACCAACCTCACTCACCCTACCCCCCTCCCTCCGAAACTTGCCGCCACTCCTCCTAGCCCCCTCACCCACGTCCCTTCCCACTCCACCCTCGGAATCCACCTTACAAGCAGGACCGTTTCTATCAACAAACGCATGGCTGCTGCCCGGCCTTGTCCGTTCTGCTGGCAGAAGACTCGCCAGCCGCCCAGTGCTACCCGCCCCGTGGCTCATCCTACCGCCCGAAGAGCCTTGGCGTTGCAGGGGAACGTAATAATCTGAAGAAGATGGAGATATATCCTTTTCAGTTTCCCCTCCACTGCGGTGTTGATTCCGAAAACCCCCCGAGATTCGAGTGCTGTCCAGAGATCTCCTCCCCTTCACCAAACTACCAGCGCTCCTGTTTCTGTGCAATTGGCCGTCACTATAATCACTGTAGTTCTGTTCACTATACTTTTTATCACCGTGACTTTTTTCACTGTAGCTTCCACTGTACTCGTTACTGCAGCCAGCACCAGACGCGTACACGCCAGCAACAGTTCCCCCTCCACCACCACAAGAACGCGCAGATTTTTCCGCCGCGCACCCTACTAGCGGCGCCTGCGCGGAACCGTGCGCGGATCCTTGCCCCGCAGCAGAGTCCACTGGCGGAAATGACGGCAGCGAAGATCGCGGGTTGCTGCGCGACCGCCGCAGCGCGTTTAGGATCCCCATCGCTTCTTCGTCCGAATCCACGTCGGACGGAATTGCCGCCGCCGCGTCCGCCGCGGCCTGCGCCGCGAGTGCCGCCGCGATCCCCGTCAGGCGGCGAGGGGACGCAGGTGCCACGTCACGCTGACGTGGAGATGACGGGAGATGACGAGGCGATGTAGGGAGGTGGCGTGGGGACGAGGGACAGTGACGTGGAGAAGCGGGTAAATGAGGAGGCGAGACGGGGGCGTGCTGATCTGGCGAAATGGGGAAGCAACGTGGCGAAGACGGCCTGTGACGTGGCGATGATAGGGGCTGCAGACGCGGCGAAAGAGGATCGTGACGTGGCGATGTGGGACAATAGCGAGGGGAGGTTGGAACAACTATCGCGGTTCGAGCGGCCGCGGTTCGAGCATTACTGACGGCAGTGGCTCTAGCAGTACGAAATGCGAGCGCCGCCGGCGGCGGGAAGGCGGGGAACGAAGGGGAAGGGGAAGCGGAAGAGGGGGAGGGGCCGGCGGAAGAGGAGGAAGAGGGGGAGACGAGAGCTAGCGTGGGGCGGGCGGAGGGCGCGGAGAGAGAGGGTGGAAAGGCAGGGAAAGGGGACGGGGCGGAAGGGGAAGCGGCGGACGGGGAATCTGCGGAAGGGGAAGCGGGAAAATGCGGGAGAAGCGCGGAGGTATTGGCGGCGCGCTGCAGATCCGACGAGCTGCGCGATCGTCCGCTTATAGCCGCGGTCGTCCCGCGAACCGTGCGTGGCGAGAAACGCGCCGCGGGGTGAGTTTGCGCCATTCCGGAGTTTATCTGCGCCGCAGCGCTGGTTACCGCATGGGGCGCCACGGGATGGCCGACATCCCCAGCGCGATTTCCGGATCTCGAGGCGCCTCGAGTTTCGGGATTTGACCCCTGCTTCTGAAGCTCGCGCCGGTGCTGCTGCTGCTGCTGCGCTTGCTGGTGCTGCTGCTGTTGCGTATGCGCCTGCGTCTGCGTCTGCTGCTGCCGTCTTGGCGTGGGCGGCATCCAGTCGTCCGTATCGTCGATCCAACGGTCAGAATTACCGCCACGCGAAGTCGCGTTATCGTCACCGGCATCGTTGCGATCAACCCCCACGCCTCTATGCGCGGAGCCTTCCGCAAAACCTTCCGCGGGCCCTTCCGCGAAATCTACCGCAGACCCTTCCCCGCGGCTACGCGCGGGGGTGTGCGGGGACTCCTCTACCGCATAGCAGTGAAACCCGCCCGCCTGAACGGGACTTGCGCCACCCGCCTTCGCCTGCGCCAAGCGGGAGTTGCGCCTACCGCTTCCGCCGATCGCGCGGACGTTTTTCTCGTCGTTGTGGCTATAGGCCTTCCGCAGCGCCCTCCGCGCGCCCGCAGGAGACGGCGGCGGAAGCGGCACGGTGTGCGAATGCGGTATGACGAAGCGCTGCGACAACTGCGACAGCGACGGCGATCTGGACACAGTCGCACCAGTCGCAGAGGGAATTGCTACCGCCGTCGACGAGTGTTGCCCTGCGACGCCGTGCGCGCCGCCATTGTGGTCGCGCACTCCTTGTTCGCGTAAGTTATCGCGAATGTCAGAGTCGCGTTCGCAAAACATGTCCAGAAATTCTTCATCCGACGAATAAACCTCCGCCACGTCATCCAGTCGAAGCGCGGTCACCTTTGCCACCACCGCTTCCCCCGTCGACCCGCCGGACCGGTGTGAGCGCACAGGCTGAGGCATTCCGTGGGGCTCCGCGGCCCCTCCGCGGGATCCCCGCGAAGCGCTTCCCCGGGCTCTTGGCGACGGAGCGACGATCTCCCGAGGCGTTTTCGCTCGGCGTGCTTTGCGGGCTCGCAAGCCCGAACGGGTCTGACGCGCTAAGTTTTGCGGGGGAGCAGGGGAAGGCGGAAGCGGCGGGGGAGCGCACGGCGCGGGAAAGAGTCGGGGGTGCGGAACACGGGGAGCTCGTCGGGGACCAGGGAACGGCGGAGGGGGGAGAGGCAGCGCACCGCCCCGCGGTGGAAAACCGCGCAGATGCGGGCGCGCAGGACGGGGAGATGCGGCTTCCGCTGCTGCTGCTGCTTCCGCTGGCGTTCCCACCGCCATTGACGTTTCCGCGGCCGCTGGCGCTCCCGCTGCTGCTGGCGTCCCCACTGCCGCTGATTGCGCTGCTGCCGGGAGGCGCGGGGAGCTGGAGTCGCGGCGGTCTAGTTCGACGCTGGGCTAGAGCCGACGGGGACCGCGAGGAGGAAGCTTCGGATGCGCGAGTGGTTGAATCAGACGCGCATGATTGGCCAGAGCTACAGCCGGCACCGTTACTAGAAACTCTATCTCTGTTAGTGCTATCGAAGCTTGCAGTATCGTGTCCGCTAGGCTGCCGCGAATCGTCAGCAGCGTGCCCGCGCAAGCCCTCCGCGTGTCCGCGCACTTCCGTTCCGCACGGGAACAGGCGGCCGTGCGCGCCTGCGTGTCCTCGCGGAGAGAGCGCTTGGGGAAACGAAGGCGCATCCTCGCTAACGAGTGAGTGAGAGCTGCTGCTACTACCGATAGATATAGGTTCTCTTGTGACTATAACAGGCGGCCTTGTCGCGCACGCGACCTCGGATCGAGGCATGTCTTTAAAGTGGTATCGCGACTGTACAGCGTCTAAGTGGACGGGAGCGCGCTCCTTTTCCTTCCTAAATGCTCCAACCCTAGCGTATTCCTATGCCATACCGTGTTCCTAAATCGTATATAGTTTCCTAACAACGTTACTGAGGGAATAAACTGACAGGGCTTTAGATTGGGATGGGAGAGTAGGTAGAGGGCAGGTAGAGTGGATAACAACCGAAAGGGCGGAACGGGGTGGGAGGGGAGGGAGGCGCAAGTAAGGGACAAAATAGAGAGGATGAGGGTGATGGTGGAAAGCGGTTCAGAGAGTTGAAGTAGGATCAACGAAGGGTGTAGAGGGCCGATTTTGAGGCCAGGTCGGACAAAGTAGGAGGGAGGGAGGACACGCTGCTGCCCATGAAACATAGGCAGAAACATCACATGCGCGCAACGCAAGCAGATAGGCCAAGTTGATTGGAGAAGCAGCCAGCCTATCCGCGGGTGGAAAGGAAACATGAGCCACGAATGGCATGTGTGATCGCTGCTGATGCGAGAAGCAAGGAATTGATAGCGGGATCAGATGTGCAACATTTGAACGGTTGAGTGTGTTTTGATTTGGTACACATTGAATCCTGTACGGTCTCTTGCGGTGCAAGTTCTGGAAATCTGGTACAGTAATCATGCCATCTCCCTCTTGGCGGCGCGTGCGCAGAAATGTTGCATTTGCGTGTGGATGCAGGAAGGAGGGCGGAATGGAGGGCGGGATGGAAAATAATAACGAGAAAAAAACATGGATTGGTTGCCACTGGCATCCGATGGTCTCAGATAGCCACTACTTCTGAAACACGACAAGGTCCTGATTTAGGATGTCCCTGCCGTACACGACACTGTGCCACTCGGTACACGTAGCATTGCTGGCGATGACGAGGAAACCAGCAATGTCAAGTTGTTTTTTCTGATGCCCCATCTTCCTTTGGCTCTGCCGATACTTATGTCCAATTGGCACCAGTGTGTTTCAAGGTCCTACCAATGTGTATCGGGGGTAGCTACTTCCATCCCCAAATTTGGCACAACAGGCGCATTTAGCTACCCACACGGGCAGCTAGTGTACCACCACTCCAGGTGATATGTAATTTACAGCACTGTGGCCTACATTGTCCGCCTTGTGCCTGGGTCGAGTGGCCACTTTGAAGCAACGATCAAATCTTATCATCATTCTCCTCGAATCGGACAACATTTGAAAGGGCAGGGAGGGACAGGGGACAGGTCACGGTACTGTGCTGATTTTGAATCAAAACAGTAGCCACCGCACAAGACAGGCATCTGAATTGTTGGAGAGAGTTGGTGGTCGAGTCGGGCAGCGGGTTTGTTCAATGATTCCTGAACATTAGTGTACCAATATGTTGTTGAAAGATGCATAACCATTACGTAGCAGGGAAAAACTTGTGCATCAAAACGAGTATCACAACAAGGGCCTCATTGGTTCCAACAACAAAAGGAGTATAGAAAATTTAGCGCATCTAGTGAACAATGTATCTCAACTCCTAACCTCTTTTGCACATTGTGCTTATTCTAAAGCATGCGAACGAATGTCTGGTGCTCGGGGTGGCGATAGTTGCGGTTGTACCAGTACCATCCACCATATCCGAGCACTCCCACTGCTACGATAATGACCAGCACAAGAGCAACAATGGCTCCCGTGCTCGGCCCGCCACCACCACCGGACGGTGCCGGGGCCTTGGTAGTGGTGGTATTGTAATCCTGTAAGAACACAAAGGGAACGGTAAAACCGAGTACCTTATTCCATAAGCTGTCATGATAGCTATCAGCACAGCATATCACAGAAAGAAAAAACACTTTTCAATGTTGCCAGGATGATAGCAGGTTGCACAACCATCTGCTTCTAACCCACAGAACCTTGCCCTTCCCCCAGTCACCCTTCTCATCTTCTCCTTGACACCGAAAGTATCTGAACCCGCCTGCGGCTTCTCGATGCCGACAGGAACGACAGCAGGCTGGGCAGCCATCTCCTTCCTACAGACTCGCAAGATTCAAACCCCAGGCAGCCTTTCCCTGCCTCTCCCTCTCGCTTCTCACCTTCTCCTTGGCGCCGGGCAGGGTGTCGAAAGTATCCGAAACAGGCTGCGACTTGTCGATGCCGGCCGGGATGACAGCAGGCTGGGCGGCAATCTGCTTCATGAGATCCGTTTTCCAGCTGGCCGGGAGAGGGCCCGGGCGCTCAATGTAGTCCAGGTTGGGGTTGATCTTGTAGCTGCCCAGCACCCACTTGCTCTTCTCCTGCCAGGTGGGAAAGGACAGAGTACACAGGGGCACACCAGGAAGAGAAGCAAGAGGAAATAGGTCAGGGACAGGGAGTGGGGCGCTAATGCAGTCCAAATTGGGTTTGATCTTGTAGCTGCCCAGCAACCACTTGCTCTTCTCCTGTGGTGGGGAACGATAGGGAGCACGCGGATAAAAGGAGCACAGCAGGTCAGGGAATGGTGCGCTCAGTGTAGTCCAGGTTGGGGTTGATCTTGTAGCTGCCCAGCACCCACTTGCTCTTCTCCTGCCAGGTGGGAAAGGACAGAGTACACAGGGGCACAGCAGGAAGAGAAGCAAGAGGAAACAGGGTAGTGGTGCGCTCAATGTAGTCCAGGTTGGGGTTGAAGTCGTAGCTGCCCAGCACCCACTTGCTCTTCTCCTGTGGTGGGCGAGGGAGGGTGAGACAGAGTGGCAGTGAGTGTGACAGGGGGGAGCGCGCACACGATCAAGTGCTTGATATGGATGTAAGTTCTAGAGCCCTTAGTGCAGGGCAGAGGCCACACTGCGGCAGCAGAGCACCTTGCATCACTGTAGGCCGCACTGACCTTCCATTGGACCTCAATGGAACCCGTTGTGGAACCCGTATTGGGGCACCAAAGAAACACTCTGCCTCCCCTAGTTTATCTAAAACGTCTCAGATCTCAGCCTCTGCACGACTGACCTTCCAGGTGCCGTCAATGAGACTGCAGAACCCGTATGGAGGCGCAGGTGTGATCAATGAGATTACAGAACCCGTATTGGGGCGCCGAGGACTCAGACTGCCTCACCACATACCTCAGTCTGCCCTCCCTAGGTTCTCTGAAACGTCTCAAATCTCAGCCTCTGGAGGACTGACCTTCCATGTGACGTCAATGAGGTTGTAGAATCCATATTGGGGCGCAGACACCTCTGTCTGCCTCTCGCCCGTGGTGCTGTTGAAGGAGACGGTGCCAGAGGCGCCATTGAAGGCGATGCACTGCGAGGGGATGCCTCGGAAGCAGTCCAGCAGCAGTGGCGCCGTCACCTCCTTGCCTGGAGACACAAGGGCGAGAGAGAGGAGCGTGGGGGACCAGGAGAGAGAATAGAGAGGAGATAGCATGGAGAATGGGATGAACAGGTGGAAGCTGCGAGGGGATGCCTCGGAAGCAGTCCAGCAGCAGTGGCGCCGACACCTCCTTGCCTGGAGCATTGCGGCAACAAGCTTACACAAGACGCAACATCCCAAGCAGGACGGATCAACTGAAGGAAAAGGGAAAAAGGCCCTGTACCTTGGTCGACAACAATCGTCTTGAAAGCTTCAAAGAATGCCCAAATGGAATCAATCAGGTTGGTGACGTAGGCACGGGCTTCAGTGAACTGAGAGCGGTGGCAGGGGAGGGAGGTAAAGCAGCAGCAGATAAGAGGGGGAGCGTGAGATGCAAGAGACTGTGGGGTTGGAACGTCTCAAACCATGTCTCACTGATTCCAAACTGCACACACCCAACCATTCACAGCCCACAACTACCCTGGGGAAGCGTCAAGCTTGAGAGATCTCACAATCACTCACAGCACGCACATTCAAACAGATGTTTTGTAACGTTTCAAGACCGTGTTTCGACACCAAACTTCTAACTGTCAATCACTCACAGCACGCACATGCCCAGGGGTAAATTTGAAACGTCTCAAGCCATGTCTCACTGCGACCAGTCACTCACAACACGCACGTACCCGGGGGGAGGCATCGAGTGTGAGCAGGCCAGGGTACTCCTCGTGCGTCTTGGTGGCCCAGAAGTCCTTGAACTGGTTGAAGGGGGACGTGCGCGGATGGTAGTTGCCCTCTGCGCGTGGGGGGGAACGGGGAACGGGGGAAGGGGGAGGGAGAGGCAAAGGGACATAAGCTAAGTCCTTGAACTGGTTGAAGGGCGACGTGCGCGGATGGTAGTTGCCCTCTGCGCGTGGGGGGGAAAGATGAGCGAGAACGGGAAAATGAGTGCCAATTCCTCGTGCGTCTTGGTGGCCCAGAAGTCCTTGAACTGGTTGAAGGGGGACGTGCGCGAATGGTAGTTGCCCTCTGCGCGTGGGGGGAAGGGCAGGGGGAGATAGGGGGAAGCAGGGGGAGCGGATCCGGTAGGGGGAAGAAGAGCGAGAACGGGAGAATGAGTGCCAATTCCTCGTGCGTCTTGGTGGCCCAGAAGTCCTTGAACTGGTTGAAGGGGGGCGTGCGCGGATGGTAGTTGCTCCCTGCACGTTTGAAGGGGGACGGGCAGGAGGAACGAAAGGGGGTGGGGGGGAACAGGGGAAGTAAAAAAGTAAAGTTAGAAAATAAGGGCGGCAAAGTGGGAAGCCCATCAAGGCTAGAAGGCCAGCAGTTGAAAGCAGACGAGGGATAAGCGCTATATGTGAGTGAGCCAGTGACTTACTGTAAGGCCCGACGCCGATTTCTCCCTGGAGGGCGTGAGTGAGGTTGGTAAGGTCCTTGCCTGCACGGCACCAAGGCATTGTGAGCGAGACCATATTAATAACGTGAGCGAGACCCTAGCGGCACCAAGGCATTGAGAGTAAATTCCATGTTTTTACATTCACTGGCTTCGCTATGGGCCTTCCTCGTTACAAGTACGGCTCTTGAAAAATACAAGCGTACCTTCGCCAACAAGGTCAAACGCAACGGCGCCATCAGCTCCCAGGTACCAGTACGGGAACTTTGTCTGGCCCTGCAGTGCGTTCATAGGAGGGAAAAGAAGAGGGAGGTGAGGGGAAGGAGGAGAGGAAGAGATCGATATCAGCTCCAAGGTAACAGTACGGAAACTTAATCACTGGGACAGCGTGATCGTGACAGAGGGCCGTGGGGCAGCGTGACCAACACTACTGAAAAAAAAATCTTCCCCCTTCCCTCCCTCTGTGTCTCTATCTTCCCCTCTCTCCCAACGCACCAGGCGGAACGCCGTCTCCCACAGGGCCTCCGCGACGTTGGGCAGCGTGGCGAAGACGCAGACGGACGCGTTGCTGGGCTTCATGTTGGCGAAGTACTGGTCGAGGGCCGTGGGGTCGACGGGGTACGGCACCTTGATCGGCTGCACCACGCGCTTGCCGCTCAGAATGTTCTGCGCGGGGGGGAGAGAGGTGGGTGGGGTGGGGAGCGATGGGGAGCGGGTGGAAAAGTAGAAATTAGCTTCTTTCGTTTCTGGTCGAAGTTGACGTGCTCAATCTGGAGGAGAACGATAGTGCCGTAAAGTGTACTGAATCGCCTTATAATGGGACTACTTCTCACCTTGATGCCCTTTGCGAGAGAGGTGCCATAAATCTCGTCCGAATAGAAGAGGTGAATCTGGTCGAAGTTGAAGTGCTCGATCTGGAGGAGAGAAATTTTGACGGAGCGGAGTAAACCAAGGCAGCAGAAACGGAGGGAACAAGAGATTAACGGAGTAAGAAATACCAAGACGAGGGGTGAAACGGAAGGAGAGCGTAATCGGAAACGAGCAGAACAGGCGGGAAAAGGCGGAAAAGGGCGGAAAGGTTGGAAGGGGGGACGGCCCACGGAACTTACCACTGAAACGATGGCCGTCGCTTGGTCCGCGTCAGGGAAGCTGAAAGTAAAAGAGACATTAGGGGAAGGAGCGGGGGGAGGCAAGGAATTGAAGCATAATGGCGAACACGCATTATGGATACGGCAGAGTCGAACAACCGAGCAAATGAAAAGGATCATGAAGGAACGTGAAGGATCATGAAGGAACGTGAAGGATCATGAAGGAACGTGAAGGATCATGAAGGAACGTGAAGGATCATGAAGGAACGTACACAGTGCGGAAGAAGGTGGGGTACTCGACGTCGCTGGAGAACCCGTCGGCAGTAGCAGCAAACGAGACGAACGGAATTCCGGCCGCCTTGAGCACGGGGTTCGCGCCCTTCACGGCTTCGGAGCACGCCGGACCCACCACGCCGACCACGTTCGTGTATACTAGTCGCTGAAATGCGCGGGAGACGGGAAGAGGAAGAAAAGAGAACAAATGCTGAGCACGGTAGGTAGTGGCCTTGCGACATGACGATACCAAGAGAATGCGAAACAAATGTTTGTCGTAAGGGTAACACGGAGGAGAATCGTTCAGACGAAAGCGACACATCCTATCGAGTGCGTCCTCGAATCTGACCACCCCGTTAAGGGCGTCCTCGTTATTCAGCAATCCAGTTCTCCTTTGAAGAGGCGATATGTGGACCACCCCGTTAACACCGTCCTCGAATCGTGATCAGCACGCCAGTTCTCCTTCGAGGTCGGAGATATAGAATTCAAAGAACCGTGACTCCCCTATCCTGAGATTTCCAAATCACTTCCACAAACCTTCCCTAGAAAGACAAAAATGATGAATCGTGACAGATCAGACCCACCTGTGCAGCCTGAGCGGCAACTTCGGCGTCGCATGCAGAGTTTTGGACGAACGGCTCGACGACGAAGTTGTTCTCGTACTGCGGTCCCAGCACCTCCAGAGCCACACGGACGGCGGAGATCCTGCCACGACAGCATTGGACGCACAAGATGCAAGGATTCGTTGATGCACGACCGAGGCCGGAGTCTAATCATGAAACCTCTCACGAGGCCTTCGAGAATCTCTCTCGCGGAACTTGTTACAGCGATAACAACAAGCTGTCGAGTGACCGACACGATCAAGTCCACGATGGTTGCATCAGTCGTCTTGTGATGGTTGCAGCCTTTAAGATGCAGCCTTTCACGGCAGCCTTCAGATTTAGTTATCGTGAAACCAGTTATGCACATAGCCGTTGGAGAGCAACCTTGTGATGCAGCCTTTGTCATTTAAATGCAACCTTCTGGTGAATTCACAGAAGCATAGAGGTGACTTGTGAGACCGTTTCGGATGCGTCCTTAGACGCATGTTTCGTCAATTTCTTTGTCGTGCCAAACCAAAAACGTGAACGTGACTTAGCGGGAGACTCTCGGGTGAGGGTTCTAACCATTCATCGGCGAGTCGTTGCGGAACGGCAGAGTCGCCATCGGGATACGGTAGGAGGAACCCAAGCCGAATGACTTGTTGAGCTTGGCACGAACTAGCGATGAGCAGCAGAGCCACCAGACACGAGGGCCACCTAGAGAACGCCATGGCTCAGGACACCAATCCCAGAACACACGCAGAGTCTACCTAGATATCTCCAACACGCCAGAAGCCTTGAAACTACCCCAGTCGTTGGAGGATGTGAAACCAAAACCGAGGAGAGAAATGCAACGGACCAAGCAGCAACTGTGGAGGCTCTCTCGATAAATTCGCTTTGCAGCTGTGGTGTGGATAAGCGGAGAACTTTGGGAAGGGGGCGTGTGCTTGAGAAGCTGGGGGGAGGGGGAGGGGGGGGGGGGGGGGGGGGGGGGGGGACTGGGAGAGGGAAGGGGAAAAGCTTGTGGGATGGGATGTCAGAAGCTTGTGGGGGTTGTGAAAAGCTCGAGGGAAGGAGGGGTGAGGCTTGGGGGAATGTGTTCGCCCTGATTTAGTTCGGTAATCTAAGGTCCTCGGGGAGTTGCTGGAGTGTCTGCGGAGGAGTTCTCGGTTCAGGCGTCAAGCTCCAGTCGCCATACCAGAGACGGGGTTGATCCGCTCGGTCAGACGCATGGCACAACGTGAAATTGGGCGGGACAGGCTGCTCCGAGGCGGACTAGTAGGTCCGGAATTGAGCGAAGCAGGCGCTCGGTTCTTTGACTTGGCTAAAAAAAAGTGCTTTAGGGACATTATAAACGTCAACCGTGGCATGTTGTGAACTGCAGCGGTGTTTTGTACTCCACTGCTTGTCTTTGGGTGCAATGTAAAAGTAACGCTTAGTCCACCCAATCAACTCTGGAATTGGTATTTACGTGAAATAAAAATACATACACACAACGAGGTGAGATCTCGCAGAGGGGCACAGGCGTGGCGTGAACGACGTGTAGTGTGGTTCGGGAATCTTGTCCATGGTTTGGGTAGCCGTTGGTGACAAGACCTAGTTAGTTCAGATGAGGTTTGGAGGGCCAGAGCAAGCACCTTCACTTCGCTTCACCCCATCGCATCCCTTGCCTGACGCACATCGTTTTTTTTACGCGGTTCGCAGGCATCAATCGGTCTGACGGCTCGGGTCGGAATTGGAACACAGGCCTGAATTCTGCGGCAAACCCCGCGCGAAAGTCGTGCCGCGGTTGTCACGCAGAGCCTATGACAATGAAAGCATCAATGTTCGACAATGACAGCCTCGGTATGCCACTGATTTATAGACTTTGCATTTCCACTTCTCATGCATATCTTCAGACGCATCATGCTTTGGGGTGGGATGAGGTGGGGGGTCATTCATAGAAAAATCTTAGTAACTCGTCCTGAAAATTATGATCAGAGCCTTTTCCTATTCTCTCCAGTATGGTACCTGAATGGGGTGATTGCAAGGTACAAGGCATGTTCCCCCCATAACAAAAATTCACTATATGATTGACATGAAGGCATGGAAAGCTGCATACAAATGTACAATATACTATTGCAAATTGCAACTACCGTACCAGCAGGAATATCTTGCTACCGTACTGGCCAGTAACACATCCAGCAGTGCACTGTACTGAATGCGGCTAAGGGCAACCGTTGCACCAAGGGCAACCAACACATGTGAGAAACCAACAATCACCATACCCAGCACACCAGCAAGCAACAGGAGAACCAGCGAACCACACCTTCCACTCATCCAACCACAGAGAACAACTTATCCCTCTGCCACCCATCGAAACCAAGCAAGCAACCCAACTCAGGGCACACAGCAAGCCAACAACCCACACATTCCTTCCACTCATCACACCCACAGAAAAAAGCCCACCCACCTGCATCACCCACCCCCATTATTTCATCTCTACCCAACACCCATCACCCTTACCCTCTCATCACTCACAACCCAAAGGAGCGAAGTCCCCTCATGAGGTAACCATCCAGCTGCTGTCATACAAAGGAGGAACACTCCCAGCTAAAGGCCACTCCGTTGCTCTCCCAACAGCACCCACTCATCACCCCTCCACTACCCATGACCCACTCCCCACTCACAACACCCCATCAAGTCTCCTCATGAGGTAACCAGCTAGTTGCCATACCAGGGAAACATTCATCATCCCCCCACTACCAACAGCAAGAGCCCACCCACTCCACTGCTCTCTCACAGCAGCACCCACTCCATTACTCCCAAACAGCATCCATTCATCACCGCTCCACCCAGTACCCATGACTCATTACAGCACAACAGCCAACCTCCCTCCAGAGAGGCAACCAGCTAGTTGCTGTCATACCAGAGGAACACCCCCAGCAAGGGCCCACTCTATTTCCATCACCCACACCCTCTCATCACAACCCAAGAAACCAAGTGCCCCTCATGAGGCAACCAGCTAGTTGCTGTCATACCAGAGAAACACCCCCAGCACGGGCCCACTCCACTGCTCCCCTGTGTCGCTATTGGAAACGATGAGAGAGAGTGACGTGGCAGGGGCGGATATATACGGTGGGGGTACTGGCATGAAGTTGCTGCTGCTGCTACTGCCGCCGCTGCTGCTGTCGTTGCTGTCACTGCCATCATCGTTATAATCACTGCTGCCATTGTCACTGCTGCCACTTTCGTCACTCCCCGCCTTGGCACTGAGATCGTCACTGTCCTCATTGTTCTCGGTGTCATCGCTGCCATCGTTATTGTCACCGTTGCCATAGTCACTGCTGCTGTCAGTGCTGCCGCCACTGCTGCCACCACTGCTGCTGTTATCGTCGTCACTGTCCTCGTTGTTCTCGTTGTCATCGCTCCCATCGTTGTCATCGCTCCCATCGTTGTCATCGCTCCCATCGTTGTCATCGCTCCCATCGTTGTCATCGCTCCCATCGTTGTCATCGCTCCCATCGTTGTCATCGCTCCCATCGTTGTCATCGCTCCCATCGTTGTCATCGCTCCCATCGTTGTCATCGCTCCCATCGTTGTCATCGCTCCCATCGTTGTCTTTGCTGTCGTCATTGTTATAATCACTGCTGCTGTTGTCACTGCTGCCATCGTCACTCCCATCACTACGACTGTTGTTGTTGTTGTCATAGTCACTGCTGCTGCCGTCACTGCTGCTGAGATCGTCACTGTCCTCATTGTTCTCGTTGTCATCGCTGCCATCGTTACCATCCTTATTGCTGCTGTTATCATCATTACTCGTCTCATACTTGCTGCTGCTGCTGCTCACATCACCACCACTAACACCCCCCTCCTCACTCCCCTCCTCCCTGCTCTCCTCCCTCCCCTCCTCCACTCCCTTAGCCGCAAACAGGCTCTTGAACCATGCATCTGCCACCTCCCACAACCCCCTCCCCCGCTGCTCTACCCTCTTCCCCACACTGCCACTACTCACACCAAACCTCCGCACATTACCGTTTCCATATCCGTTACCATTTCCAGGACCATACCCCTGGCCCCATCCGGTTACACCGTTACCCCAGTCCCCAGGCACTGTAGCATTGGGAACGCTGGCCAGAATATCCTCGATAGTAGCAGCATCGACATCCTCTAAGGTGTCAAAGAGCCGAGCTACAGTAACGGTGGTGTACAGACCCCACCTGGCGGGGCCGCCCGTTGAGTTGGCGAGCTCCCATTCGTCGGCGGCAACAGGGAAGGAGAAGAGCGTGGGGGCGGAGTTGTTACAGGCAGTGCTGCTCTTAACGAGTGTGATTGTATCGGGGACGGAGGAGGCAGTAGTGATGTTACGAATAACTATGGTGTAATGGAGGTTGAAATGGCCAGTGGCGTTCCTGATGGATTGGGGGAGAGGGACAAAAGCGAGTCAGAGTTAGGTGCTATGAATACAAAACAGATGTTAACAAATTAACATATGCGACGATCCTAACAATACAATACACGGCACAAACAACCCCCTTGTATTCATGGGATGTTGCTGGTAACGGTTATAATGTGGACATGGATGAACTAGAATGAAATGGAAAAAAAAAGGGCATTACTCAGTAGTGAACATAAAGGTGGGAACCAGTTCAAGTGAAAGAGAAGTTTCTTACTTGAAGATGGGGAGGAAGAATGAGCCTCCTGTGCATGCGAGCACCTGGCAGTATGCGTGCGCACACACCTGGCAGTGCGTTGGACTGTGGAGAGGAGGGAGTGAAGTATTCACTGATAGAGTACTGGTTCGTCTTCACAAAGCCTCCGTGCCAGAAGCGGAAGCGCGTGGGCACCACCTGAAGCAAGTCGAGAGGGGGGGGGGTATAGTACAGATGCGATTGATTGCTCTGCACCGCTCCAAACCCCCAAGAACTGGTTTGTTCTCAGGTTGGTTTTCGACTGAGCTCAGTACTGGTTCATCTTCACAGAGCCTCCGTGCCGCAGAAGCGAGTGGGCACCACCTGAAACAAGGCGAGACGGATGGTATATTATAAATGCGAGGCACTTAAATGCACTGCATCGCTCCTAACCTCCAAGAACCGGTTGATGCTCGGGCTGGAATCAAAGGGAGTTCCCAACTGAGCTCAGTACTAGTTGGACTTCACAGAGCCCCCGTGCCAAAAGCGGAAGCGCGTGGGCTGAAGTGTGCTGTACCGCTCCCAACCCAATTAAATTCACTGATAGAGTACTGGTTCGTCTTCACAAAGCCTCCGTGCCAGAAGCGGAAGCGAGTGGGTATCAGCTGAGGGGACACACACGCGGATTGTAGAGCAAAAAGGGCATGCACGTCATCAGCCTGAGAACCGGTTGGGATCAACCACCTGAGGGCACACAAGTGGTCAGCGATTAGGTTGACTCAGCTGCCTATATTAAGGCCGAGCTGAGTACTGGTTGGTCTTCACAGACCCCTTGTACCATGCGGTGCAGTGCGGTGGAGTGTGGTGCAGTGTGATGGAGATGGCTCACCTTGAGGAAGTACTTGAAAGTGCCGCTAGACCTGGCAGGGTCCTCCCCTTCCTTGAGGGGCGGCAGGATGGAAAGGAGCAACGTGCATTGGAGTGCGGTGAAGTGTGGTGAAGTGTGGTGGAGATGGCTCACCTTGAGGAAGTATTTGAAAGTGCCACTGGAGCGGGCAGGGTCCTCCCCCTCCTTGAGGGGCGGCAGGATGCGGACAAATCCGTCTAGAGGGTTGAGGCGGCCGGGATAAGGCACTCCGAAACCGAGGGAGTGGATGACGTGAGAGACGTTCACATCGCCCACTGATGAGAAGACCTGGTGGGGGAAAGGGGGGAGAGGGAGGGGTTGAATGGAAGGAAATGGAAGGGGAAAGCACTCCGAAACCGAGGGAGTGGATGACATGAGAGAGGGGGGGAGAGGGGAGGAGGGAAGGGGCGGAAGGAAGAAAAGAAGGAAGAACAGGGCACTAGGACTGTGAGGGAGTGGATGATGTGGGACATGTTCACGTCACCCACTGATGAGAAGACCTGCGAAGGAAGGGGGGAGGAGGGAGTTATATCAAGGAAGGCGTGAGGGGACGTAGGAGGACGTGAGATGAGATGCGATGCGGATGAGGAAGAAAAAGGCAGTTGGAGAGGACGACGGAGTGGATGAGGTGGGTCAGGTTGACAATGCTTATTGCACAGAAAGAATTGGGAGGAGGACGGGAGAGGGAGAGGCGCAGGGTGGTTAAGGGGGTTGGGAAGAAGGCCGAGCTGAAATGAGACGAGGTGGACGAGTGGTGCTGACTGATTGTGGCATCAGAGCATGAGTTGCGTCCAGATCGCACCAAGCAACCCACCGCACCTGCTGCAGCACCAACCAAGTAGCAAGCAGCAGGCAACCCCAACACACCTGCTGCAGCACGAGGTAGGACCGGCCGTGCACTGAGACGTGGAAGTTGATTGATGCATGAGAGAATGGGGCGAGGCAACACACCAACCAACCACCCCACATTGTACCTGCTCCAGAGCAAGCAACCAACCATCCCACCTCACCTGCTGCAACACAAGGTACGACTGGCCGTGCACCGAGACATGGAAGTTGCCTGCCACCCTCTCCACTGCGAGATGGCCGTACAGCTGAGGAGAGGGCGCACGCAGCAAAGAGTGGAGGGAAGAGTGAAGAGGAGCAGGGTATGAAGGAAAAGGCAAGGGGGCAAGGTGGAAGTTGCCTGCCACCCTCTCCGCCGCCCATCAGATGCTCTTACAGCTGGCGGCACAGCGCACGTGGAACGGAAAAGGTGACGGGGAGCAGAAAGTGGGAAGGAATCGGAGAGGGGAGCCAAAGGTTGGAGGCACAGAATCGAAATGGTGGCCCAGCAGCCATGGCCTTCTGTACATGGTAGCCCCAACTTCCCACACCCTCTTACTTCACATGCCACCGCACATAGACACACTTGCCACCCACCCCACACACCTGCCACCCACCCCATACCCCAGCAGCCATGGCTTTCTGCACGTCCAGCCCCACCGCCTCCCCCCCCTCCATGCCCTCCCTCTCCCACACCAACGCACATACGCACACACCTGCCACCTCCCCCACAACACACTCCACCTACCTGACACCCCTCCCCTGCTGCCATGGCTTTCTGCACATCCAGCACCATCTGTTCCAGCCCCACTGCCTCCTCCTCGTCCTCCTCCTCCTCATCCTCCTCCTGCTGCCCCTCCCCAGCCTTCCCCTTCTTCCCCCCTGCCACGTGTGCCTGCCCGTACCCGTGTGCATGCCCATGCCCGTGGTGGGGTGTGGGAGATTTTCCGTGAGTGTGTCCTGTGGTGGGAAGAGGGGAACGGGAAGGTAACACGTGTGTGTCGATGCAAGACGGGCCTCAAATATAGCACACATGCGCCTTCCCCTTCTTCCCCCCTGTCACTTGTGCCTGCCTGTAGCCGTGTGTGTGGCCTGTGGCGGGGAAGGAAAAGGTAAGGGGATAGTGTGTTGCTTTACTCTATCCCCCCTGCCACGTGTGCCTGCCCATAGCCGTGTGCGTGCCCGTGCCCATGGTGGGGCGTGGGGGATTTACCATGCGTGTGGCCTCAGGTAGGGTGAAGGGAAAGGGGAGAAGAAGGAGGTTCTATGCATGCATGACACATGTGTGCCTGCCCATTCCCGTCTGCGTGCCCGTGACCACAGTGGTGGGGTGTGGGGAATTTACCATGTGTGTGTCCTGTGGTAAGAGGGGAACGGGGAGGGGAAGGGGAGTCTGTGCATGACTTGCCTCTCAGATATAGCACACGCGTGTCTGCCCCAACTACCACAGGCCAGAAAGAGATTGCACAACAGAGCCACCCACACCACACGTCCGCAGCAGCCCCAACTCCCACCTTTGCGCTTATTGGCCTCGCTCCGCCGCCATGCCCCCGTGGGCTCCTTGAGCGATTGCAAACCTGCCCCTAGTTGTTCCCCCAAGCCTCTGGTCCCAAGCCGCTGGTCCCAAGCCTCTGGTCCCAATCCTCGGGTCCCAAGCTTCTCGCCTTTGCTCCGCCTCCATGCCCGTGGGGTCCTTGAGACGGCCTGCCCTGCCCCTTGTTGTTCCCCTAAGCCTCGGGTCCCAAGCCTCAGGTTCGAAGCCTCTGGTCCCAAGCCTCGGAACCCAAGCCTCCGACCCTGAAGTTCCGAGCCTCACCTTTGCGCTTCTTGCCCTTGCTCTGTCGCCATGCCCCTGTGGGGTCCTTGAGCCACCGCGAGTCTGCCAACTGGCCATGGCGGTCCAGACGAATCTGAGGGGGGGGGAGAGGGTGGGAGGGGGGAGTGGGGGGGGAAGGGAGGGAGTGGAGGGAGAAGGGGGGGAGGGAGAGGAGGGAGAAGGGGTCCTTAAGAGGTGAGGTGAGGTGAGCTGAGCGCACAGGTGGGGTCCTTGAGCCACCTCGAGTCTGCCAACAAACCATGACGGTCCAGACGAATCTGAGGAGGGAAATAGGAGAGAGCGGGAGGGCACTGGTGGTGGTGGGGGGGACGGAGGAGGAGGAGGGCAGCGGGCAGGTAGGAGTGACCTGAGTGCACGGATGGGGTGCTTGATTCACCGTGAGTCTGCCAACCGGCAGGGGAAGGCCCAAGGAGGGCGAGAAGCGGGGAGGGGGGAGGGGAGAATGGGGATGTAGGGGGGGGGGGAGGGTCTATATTGGTATTACGATTGAGAATCCTTGGGAACTCCCAAAAGTGAGCGGAAATGTTGCAGACGGGTCGAACGGATGAAAGGGAGGGGCATGGAGCGGCAGACGAAGGGTGGAATGGATATGGGCAACGGGAATGACGGCAGCTGGTGAGGTGATTCTGAGCGACCAGTACTCGTTAACGAAACACCTCATCTCATCGTACAGTTAAATGTAACTGTTATGCAAAGCCTCGTTGTACCTTGTACATATTTGTTGCAATGTCCACCTCATGGTTGCCCGACATGTCCAGAGCCACACCTTGTGGCAGAAGCAGATACAACGCAGCAGACACTTCCTGTTCCACTGTCACTGGGCTACAGTAACCCTACCTTGTACATGTTTGTTGCAATGTCCACCTCATGGTTGCCCGACATGTCCAGCGCATCGAGACTGATCACTGTAGCGTGCAGCACACATGCAATGCACACACGCACGCACACATGCACACGCACACACGCTCGCACCCGGACCCGCAACCACACCCCACCCCACCCCCACCCGCACCCATAAGTGCAGGCAGTGGCAGGTGACTTATTATAGCAGAATACCAGCTGATCCACGATAGCTTCAACAAATGGGGAGGAGATAATTCAAGATGCATTTCATATCAGAAAAAACAGGGAACAGAAGAAAGGGTGGCGTGTACGAAGGAACGAGAACTTGCAAAAGCGAAATAGGACAACGGAAGGCGAAAAAAGTGGAGCGGAGAGGACTGGTGGGAAGGAGGGGAGGGGAGAAGGATGGGGACAGGTGGGAAGCATACCACTGCAGGGCAGGACGAAAGGAGACAACAAGGGAAGGGATTAAGGAGAGGGTTGGGGAAGAGAGGCATGTCAACGCTGCTGCGCTCACCGTTGCAGGGCAGGGAGGGGAAGGAGATGTTGAGATACACATCGAGCTTCTCGTCCCTTGGCGTCTTGTCCACTGCCATCTGCGGGGCAAGGGAAAGGGGAGGGTAGCGTAGGGAAAGGGAAGAGAGGGACGGGACGGGATGGGAGGGAGGGGAAGGGAGGGGAGGGGAGAGGAGGAAAGGGAGGGGAGAGGAGGGAAGGGAGAGGAGGGAGGGGAAGGGAGGGGAGGGGAGGGACGGGAGGGAGGGGAGGGGACGGAGAGGAGGGGAAGGAGATGTTGAGATACAGATCAAGCTTCTCATCTCATCCCTTGATGTATTATCCACCGCCATCTGCGGAGCAAGGGGAGGGATGGGAGGGAGGAGGGAGAGATGGGATAGGATGGGAGCGATGGAGGTGGAGAGATCGGAGGGGAGGGACGGGCAGGGGAGGGGAGGGGACAGGAGGGAACGGGAGGGGAGAGGAGGGGACGGGAGGGGAGAGGAGGGGATGCGAGGGGAGAGGAGGGGATGCGAGGGGAGAGGAGGGGATGCGAGGGGAGAGGAGGGGATGCGAGGGGAGAGGAGGGGATGCGAGGGGAGAGGAGGGGATGCGAGGGGAGAGGAGGGGATGCGAGGGGAGAGGAGGGGATGCGAGGGGAGAGGAGGGGATGCGAGGGGAGAGGAGGGGATGCGAGGGGAGAGGAGGGGATGCGAGGGGAGAGGAGGGGATGCGAGGGGAGAGGAGGGGATGCGAGGGGAGAGGAGGGGATGCGAGGGGAGAGGAGGGGATGCGAGGGGAGAGGAGGGGATGCGAGGGGAGAGGAGGGGATGCGAGGGGAGAGGAGGGGATGCGAGGGGAGAGGAGGGGATGCGAGGGGAGAGGAGGGGATGCGAGGGGAGAGGAGGGGATGCGAGGGGAGAGGAGGGGATGCGAGGGGAGAGGAGGGGATGCGAGGGGAGAGGAGGGGATGCGAGGGGAGAGGAGGGGATGCGAGGGGAGAGGAGGGGATGCGAGGGGGGGAGGGGAGGAGGGATGCGAGGGGGGAGGAGGGGATGCGAGGGGGGAGGAGGGGATGCGAGGGGGGAGGAGGGGATGCGAGGGGGGAGGAGGGGATGCGAGGGGGGAGGAGGGGATGCGAGGGGGGAGGAGGGGATGCGAGGGGGGAGGAGGGGATGCGAGGGGAGAGGAGGGGATGCGAGGGGAGAGGAGGGGATGCGAGGGGAGAGGAGGGGATGCGAGGGGAGAGGAGGGGATGCGAGGGGAGAGGAGGGGATGCGAGGGGAGAGGAGGGGATGCGAGGGGAGAGGAGGGGATGCGAGGGGAGAGGAGGGGAATGCGAGGGGAGAGGAGGGGATGCGAGGGGAGAGGAGGGGATGCGAGGGGGGAGGAGGGGATGCGAGGGGGGAGGAGGGGATGCGAGGGGGAGGAGGGGATGCGAGGGGAGAGGAGGGGATGCGAGGGGAGAGGAGGGGATGCGAGGGGAGAGGAGGGGATGCGAGGGGAGAGGAGGGGATGCGAGGGGAGAGGAGGGGATGCGAGGGGAGAGGAGGGGATGCGAGGGGAGAGGAGGGGATGCGAGGGGAGAGGAGGGGATGCGAGGGGAGAGGAGGGGATGCGAGGGGAGAGGAGGGGATGCGAGGGGAGAGGAGGGGATGCGAGGGGAGAGGAGGGGATGCGAGGGGAGAGGAGGGGATGCGAGGGGAGAGGAGGGGATGCGAGGGGAGAGGAGGGGATGCGAGGGGAGAGGAGGGGATGCGAGGGGAGAGGAGGGGATGCGAGGGGAGAGGAGGGGATGCGAGGGGAGAGGAGGGGATGCGAGGGGAGAGGAGGGGATGCGAGGGGAGAGGAGGGGATGCGAGGGGAGAGGAGGGGATGCGAGGGGAGAGGAGGGGATGCGAGGGGAGAGGAGGGGATGCGAGGGGAGAGGAGGGGATGCGAGGGGAGAGGAGGGGATGCGAGGGGAGAGGAGGGGATGCGAGGGGAGAGGAGGGGATGCGAGGGGAGAGGAGGGGATGCGAGGGGAGAGGAGGGGATGCGAGGGGAGAGGAGGGGATGCGAGGGGAGAGGAGGGGATGCGAGGGGAGAGGAGGGGATGCGAGGGGAGAGGAGGGGATGCGAGGGGAGAGGAGGGGATGCGAGGGGAGAGGAGGGGATGCGAGGGGAGAGGAGGGGATGCGAGGGGAGAGGAGGGGATGCGAGGGGGAGAGGAGGGGATGCGAGGGGAGAGGAGGGGATGCGAGGGGAGAGGAGGGGATGCGAGGGGAGAGGAGGGGATGCGAGGGGAGAGGAGGGGATGCGAGGGGAGAGGAGGGGATGCGAGGGGAGAGGAGGGGATGCGAGGGGAGAGGAGGGGATGCGAAGGGAGAGGAGGGGATGCGAGGGGAGAGGAGGGGATGCGAGGGGAGAGGAGGGGATGCGAGGGGAGAGGAGGGGATGCGAGGGGAGAGGAGGGGATGCGAGGGGAGAGGAGGGGATGCGAGGGGAGAGGAGGGGATGCGAGGGGAGAGGAGGGGATGCGAGGGGAGAGGAGGGGATGCGAGGGGAGAGGAGGGGATGCGAGGGGATGCATGATTGAATGTGTGCCACCACATGTGCACGATGCTCCACTTCACGGCCACCGCACGCGCCTCCTCTTGTGACTAGGCTTGGCTGTGGGTATGTATGAAATGAACGAGAGCGCGAGACGCATGCTTTGTATTGCATGTGTGCATGATTGCATGTGTGCATGATTGCATGTGTGCATGATTGCATGTGTGCATGATTGCATGTGTGCATGATTGCATGTGTGCATGATTGCATGTGTGCATGATTGCATGTGTGCATGATTGCATGTGTGCATGATTGCATGTGTGCATGATTGCATGTGTGCATGATTGCATGTGTGCATGATTGCATGTGTGCATGATTGCATGTGTGCATGATTGCATGTGTGCATGATTGCATGCGTGCATGATTGCATGTGTGCATGATTGCATGTGTGCATGATTGCATGTGTGCATGATTGCATGCGTGCATGATTGCATGTGTGCATGATTGCATGTGTGCATGATTGCATGTGTGCATGATTGCATGTGTGCATGATTGCATGTGTGCATGATTGCATGTGTGCATGATTGCATGTGTGCATGATTGCATGTGTGCATGATTGCATATGTGCATGATTGCATGTGTGCATGATTGCATGTGAGCATGATTGCATGTGTGCATGATTGCATGTGTGCATGATTGCATGTGTGCATGATTGCATGTGTGCATGATTGCATGTGTGCATGATTGCATGTGTGCATGATTGCATATGTGCATGATTGCATGTGTGCATGATTGCATGTGAGCATGATTGCATGTGTGCATGATTGCATGTGTGCATGATTGCATGTGAGCGTGAGCGCATGTGAGCATGAGCGCATGTGAGCATGAGAGCATGTGAGCATGAGAGCATGTGAGCATGAGAGCATGTGAGCATGAGAGCATGTGAGCATGAGAGCATGTGAGCATGCTAGTCATTCACTCCATTCCAGCACGCACGCACCTCCTCATGCACCTCAGGCGTGAGCACAAACGAGAGCTCGTGAGCGAAGAGCACCACCATGATCGCCACGCCCAGAAGAGTCACTGTGGGGTCGGAGAGAGGAGAAAGCGGGGTGGAGGGGATGGAGGGGTGGGTGGTGACTGAGCGGTTGGAGGGGGTTGATTGTGCGCTGTGGGGTCACCTCGAGCGTGAGCATGAAGAAGAACTCGTGGAGAAGGGCGGGAGGGGGAGAAGGGGGGAAGGAGGGGGACGCGGGGACGGGGAGAAAGGTGGGAAAGGGGGAGAGGGGGGGCTTGTCTGCCAATGTGATGGGCGGGCGGGAACGTCCAGCAGCGCCACTGTGCTGCTGAGAAAGGGTGCGACAATGGGATGGGTGGAGGAAGGGTGGTTGTGTGGAGCCGAGCCCCTCAGGCCTGAGCACAAAAAAGAGCTCGTGAGCGAATGGCACCACCATGGTTGCCACACCCAGCCCAGCAGAGTCACTGTGCCCAGGCTGGAGGAGGAAGGGGGAGGGGGGATGGGGAGCGAGCGGGGGGTGGTTGTGTGATTGCGGGAAGCACCTCCGGTGTGAGCACGGAGGAGAGCTCGTGAGCGAGCAGCAGCACCATTATTGCCCCACCCAGCAGAGTCACTGCGCGTGGGGTGGAGGGTGGGGGGAGAGGAGGAGGGGAGTGGTAGGGGGGAAATGGGGGAACGGCACCGCCATGATCACGAGGAGAGTCACATGCAAGGAAGGAGGGTTAGCACGAAGGACAGCTAGGATGGGGAGGCAGGGATTGCACCGCCTGGCTAGGTGTGGCAGGGATTGCACCGCCTGGCTAGGTGTGGCAGGGATTGAACGAGGGCGGAATGGGACGAGTTACGAGAAGGGTGGGGTGGGGGAGCCCTGGGGGCCCTTACGCGTGACCCTGGAGGCCCTTACGCGTGACCCTGGGGGCCCTTACGCGTGACCCTGGGGGCCTGCACCGATGGCGCCCGACAGCGTCTTGTGCGTGAGGTGGTCCTCCTCCTTGGGGAACGCGCGTGCAGCACAATCGACACTCTTAAGAGCGCCGGTAGCCCCACTGTATGGACGCCCTAAGCTTTACCTACACTGCTGCAGACGTATCGATGGCGCCCGACAGCGTCTTCTGAGTGAGGTGGGTGGTCTTCCGCCTTGGGGAACGCTGTCCGTCGCCACTCCTACCCTGGGAAGACCTGACCCTTAGCCCCACCGTATAAGCCTCAAAGCCTTACTATTGACACTCCAATCCAATTCCGCGTACCGATGGCGCCCGACAGCGTCTTCTGAGTAAGGTGGTCCTCCGCCTTGGGGAACGCGTGCAGCTTCGAGATCGCGCCCCATTTCCCGCCCATCGCGAATCACTCGCTTGCCAAACCGATCGCTCTCGTGTCCGATCAAGCGCTCTCCCTCCGCTGACCGTTGCGCCTCGCCTTTCACGAAAATCGGTTGGATTCAGAGCGTTCGTGGCGGAACGGCTTGTGCTTTCGCGGTGCTGGCCGGCGAGGCTGAATCGCGCGTACGCCGCTACGGAACGGATTCTACGATAAATGAAGAATGAGTTCGTGAGCTACTGAAGTGCTTGGGGCGCCGTAGTTTGGTTTGGTGTGGTGGCGACGACCTAGCTACCCTAAAAGTAGGAGAAATTGGAGGGAGAAAAAGCTGCTGGTGTGGATTTTGAAAAATGCCACGCGATGCCTGAAAGCGTGTGGTATTCGAACCTCTCAAGATTCCTTCTCGAAGTTTTTAATCGACGGTTCAGTGAGTTACAGCTCGCTTTAGAGCAGTAAAATGCTCTGCAATCACAAGCACATCCTGCTTACAGCCCTCGTGGTCAAAGTTCCTGCATAAGTGGCGTTGTTAGAAAGGCGATAAAATTAAACTAAAAAGCAACATTGCAAGGTAAAGGCCCCAATCCCCCTAAAAAAAATCCAAGCAGCTACAGAAATTCAGTCATTGTACTGTAACAAGTGCTCAAATGAACTCAATAATCCAAAAGCATTTCAAATCACTGAACAAAATCAGTGTGGGCCACTGTTTCATCCGAGCCATGCCATCTGAAAGGTCTTTCGATGTAGGGCCCAACAAACCAGTGGTTAGCGCATCATGTCTCATCAAGTTGCAACGAGTTGCATTGTGGTCACTGTACATAAGGGCAGCCCATGCCGCCCACTCCACCGCCGTTGTCAGTAAGAAAGTGGGGCCCTCCTGATGAGAGCCACGCACAGAGGGTCCCTTCCCTCCTGCTTGCTTCTCCACACCACCTTACACCCATGTTAGAATCACCCTCCCTTCCTCCCACCTATCCCCGGACCAATTGCTCTTCCAGCGACGGATACTTGCACCTCTCAAGCAGCAGGCAGCTCATGTGTCAGTGCAGCTTCCTGCTGTCATCGCTCCCGTGGTCACCCACCACCCAGTCAGTCAGTTCCACCTTCATCCACCTTCCCCCTCCCCTATCCTCCTCCACTCTCCTCCTCTTCCCTTCTCCACCACCGCCCTCCACCACCCAGCACCACTGCATCATCATCAGCCTCTCAACATCCACATTTCCCCATGAGCACACACACATCCATCCACTCTCCTTCCCGCCCTCACTCCTTCCAAATCCGCCCCGTGAATCGCAGCTTCAGCTCCTTCCCATTGCCCCCCGAGAAGAACAGCGCCATGGTCCTCTGAATAATCAGCCCGTCACGCAAATCCCGCACCTTCCGAATTAACTCAAACGTCACTCCTTCCAAATCCGCCCAGTAACTCTCAGCTTCAGCTCCTTCCCATCGCCCCCTGAGAAGAACAGCGCCATGGACCGCTGAATGATCAGCCCGTCATGAGAATCCCGCACCTTGCGGTGGCTGTCCCGGATGCTGCGCGGCACGCCCTGCCACATGAGCTTGCGCCCGTTGCCGCCCACCTCCAGGCTGTACCCAAACGCCTTGGCGTCCGCGTCGTCCCCCATGAAGCGCAGAAACGCCATGTAGACCGGGGCGCTGCCTAGCTGAAACGCCTCGAAGTGCAGACAGAAGTGCTGCCCGAAGCAGTTGAACACCTGGGGACGAGCGCACAAGGGGGAGGGGTTGAGGGCGAGAAGCGGGTAAATGGGTGTTAGATGTCTTAAACGAAAGGGGGAAAGGGGAGTAAAGGGAAGGAAAGCGGAGTGGGGGGGAGGGGGAGGTCGGGAAAAGGGAGAATGGGGGGTAATTCCTTGCTGTGAGCAGAGCAATGAGCAACGGTCTTGCAACACCAAAAACCATGACACGCACCACCACACCCCCTCATTCACACACCTCACGTACTCCACCCACCATCCCTGCACCATCTGGGAAATGGAAACGAGGACACGACTCTCTCACTCACCGTGAGCATCCACGTGGCGTTCTCCACCTCCTGCGGGTTCTGCTTGACGTAGCGATGGTTGAACGTGCTGCCATTGTGCATGTCCACCTTGTGATCATCCCGCAGGTGCGCCACCAGCGCCAGCACGTCCCCCGTCACCGCGCACTCCGACCCCGCGTACGGGCAGCAGTACGGCCGGAACGCGCACAGCGCCTCGTGCTTCACCTTGCAGTAATAAGGCAAAATTTCTGGGCAGCCGAGCGTGTGGTGCTTGCAGGGCAGCTCGAGGGACTCGGCGACCTTTTCGAGCGCGAGGCAGCGAATGTTGCCCAGCTCGTAGCGGCACGTGGGGCAGCGGTTGTGCACGCGCGCCTTGCAGTGCGAACACAGCGTGTGGCCGTTGGGGCACTGGGGGGGGTGCGGGGAGGAGAGCGCGACGAGAGCGCGTGGCGATTGGGACAATGATGTGCAGGTGGGAAGGGTTGGTGCAAGTTTGAATTTACATTGACTGCAAGGCGGAGTTACTGGTCAGGTCTGAAATGCCCTGGGAGCGTGAGCGACTGAGAGTGTGAGCGATTGAGAAAAGTAAGAGCTTAATCGAGCGAACGTCAAAAGAGTCAGCGACAACATTGGGTAACGCGTGGGAAGTCAAACAAAGCAGTCGAGAGAAAGCTCAGCTCGCGACGTCGCAACGATTCAGAGCAGAGTTCCAAGGGGAATCTGCTTTAAGGAAAACAAACAAAACTGAATCTGAACACTTCTTTACAGACTTGACATCGAGTTACACGTGAAAAGTGGCGTTTACAAATGGAAGGCGAGCTCACCTGATGAATGGGAGGGAACATGGAGTTGGTGCAGACGGGACACTCCAGTAGCTCGTGCACCCCGCCAGACGACATCACGGCGACTGGAGGCGACGTTTGCGACGGCGAGTTACCAGACGCTTTCACCGAGGAATGCGAAGGGTGTAGTACTGTCGATGATCCCGGTGTGGCTCCAGACGACGATATGGGCTTGCCATGGCTTCTGGCCTGGCCGGAAGACACGCCGCCTTCTTCGGAGTCGTAAGTGAGCGAGGACGAGGCGTCCTCGCTAACAGACATTTCCGCCATCAAGTCGGCTAGGTCCGTTTCACGGCCTGGAGGCATTGTTTCACCTACTCTGTTCGCCTCGCTCGGACCAAGTACTTGGCTATTGACTCGGGATTCGTCGAAACGGATTCATTGGAAATGTTAACGATGGTCGTGAATACGTTGATGCGAGTGTGAGGGGAATGAAGCCCTCGGTTCGCGGAATTAACTTGACGAGGCGTGGGTTGTGGAAACCATGACGCCTCGCCTACTGAGTGTGTAAGAACGAACGTGCTATGGACTTAAAAAAAAAAATAACGAGACAACCTCTATGCTGCACAACCTGAAGTCAAAGCCTGGGAAGACTAGAAACTGAATGCTAGGAAGATAAGAGGAGCTTGAAAAGGTTCTGCGAAGAAGAATACACACTGCAAATCTCAACTGTGGTGGTGCGGGGGGGAGGAAACCCTAAAAGCACGGAGGGGGAGGAGACTGGTGTGGTGTGGTGTGTGGTGTGGAGCAGATGACGATGATGTGCTGCTATGGATGGGTTGGGGGTTGGCTGGGCTGGGCTGCATGATGTGACCATGGCAGGAGGGCACCGACGAATGAGGCAGATTCCAGTTCGGCACGGCGTCGTTATCGGAGTTTCAGCGCGTTTCAAAATGTTTCTGTGCGGTTTCTAGAGCTGAAGTAGCCAACGTGTGCGCGTCATTTGTTGGATATCGCTTAATCATTAAATGCACTCAGAGGTAGTTACCCTGGTATACTAGCTTTTGAGGATGATGGATAGGAACACCCCTGCCACCTCAGGAAGCTGGGCGCGGCAAGTGAACCATTGTTACATCGAAGCTGGTTTCGAAAGTGCCTGATTCAGTTGATGAGACTACCCTCGGAGGATACGGCTCATACTTTCGTGGGCAGGAGCGGTAACTATTCTCGCTATGTTTTTAGGGTATTTTGTGTTCGTCGTGAATGTTGTCCAACCAGTCGTAGTTGGTAGAATTCTGTACAGTGCAATGGAAGACACCGCCCTTGCTATTCTACAACCAGGCCCGGCTCCCACACCTGGTTGTAGGGCTTGTCTCAATATAATTACCATAGAGTTCCTTCTATCTACGAATTATAAAAAATGGGGGGGGGGGGGGAGGGGGGTGGCACTTAACACCCAGTCGGTGGCGTAGAGTAAACTTGAGAGGTCATAAATAGGGGTGCATAGTGACTGAAATAGACCCGGCGTCTGTAATGCGAGCAATCAAACCTGCAGCAAAAGACCCATACACTCATCAGCATACGGTAATCTGGTCTGAAGCTTCATTAATTCCTGTTACGAATAGTAAAAGATGAAGTATTACTGTGCACTCCTAATCGCAGCAATCAAAACATGCAGTACCGAGGCTGAAGACGAAAAGCCGGAAGTGACGTGAAGGGTCGTACGGTTACGAAACATCTGGACCGTCAGGGGACACAGCATCAGGCAGCATCAGTGGCGAGGATTCTGCCCAGGCGGTTCGTATTCGTCTAGAGTCGCACGGTTAAGTTTTGCTGCAGTACGGGAATTTACCCCTTAGAGTACATGGCTAGCTAGGTCGTTTCTTATCCACCTTGTACTCTTATTTATATCCATGTATTTGCATGTTATAATCATCTCAAACATTTTACATTCACTCTGTTTTGAGGTCAAGGGCCCACCACTACCAATCAGCTGTGTGCGAACTTTCCTTAGGTGATCCTAGGGTCGATCAACTTTTGATCGCAGCATGGTATGAGAGCGACTCGGGAATCCTTCGCACTGCCACCTCCGGGCGAACGGAAAGTGGCGTCCGGCACACGCTCACGTGTGAGAATGGCCGGAGGATCTGGTGGTCATACGAATCTGACGGCTGAAGCGCAGCCCAATCCGGCTGCGACAAGCGAGGGAAACGACGACAACTGGAACCGGCGTTCTCGCA